AAACGTATCACTGCGATATCATTTGCATCTGCACTGTCAGAATCTTGTTCATGAATCCAAATTTTCGATACAACCAATTCTTGTTCCATGTACATTGGCTTATTAATATCGTGTGCACCAATGTAGACCTTGTAATTACTTTCTTGAACTGGTGTTTTGATACAATGAGCAGCCGTCAGAACATGACGTGCATCAATAAGAGTACCACCACACATATTGCCGGTTCCTCGTAATAGAATTTGCCATGGCTTTACGGAAAAGAACATCGATATTTTGAGAAGTTTGAATGTCAATGCACTTACCCAACTGTTTGCATTTGCATGAAATCCTCCAATGATACGTTGTCTTAAAGGCTGGTATTGTTGTTTGCCGCATTCTTTTGGAAAGTTTGTTGATGGTGTCGTTACTGGCATACCTTGACAACAGAGACGTGCTTGACCATTTGCTTGCTCGAATTGGATAGCACTGATGCATTCTTGCTGTTGTTTATATGAAATGGAGAATTTACCATTTACCGGACTAATCCATTGGGAGCAAATTTTACCATTGTCACGAATATGAAGTGTGTATGTCTCGGAAGACACGGCATTGAAGAAAAGCACCAGAGCTAGAAATGTACGATGTAAAAGAAACATGGTTCTCGTTCTTCCCCTAACTAAACCAAATTACTCTTATTGGCAAGTAAAGCACTTTTCCATTCCTTTTATCGTGGTTCGTTTCCAATTATAATTGTAAGCTTGAAAATACGATATACATAGCTGAATTAGGGTAAAATGGCACTATCGAGGGTGTTTTAATTGAATTTAAATCCGTTCACTGTTTTGTTGTTTTTCACGTAGTCAATGTACTCAGTATTAATGTCAAAGTCTGGTGTGTATGAAGGGATATAGATGAGAATGTCGGCGAAAGATACAAATATTTACTCTGTCTCTATCTTCATCATAATTACAGTTGTATTTCTCATTTTAATCAGTTTCGTTATGATTTCTTCAAAGTTTTGAATATTCTCGTTTAACCATACTTTTACTGTGCACAACAGTCTTTTAATGAGAACGCTTTGTTCTGGGTTAAGAATTTGATTCGAGTCGATCAGAGAGAACGATAAAAACTGGTACAGAAATGAATGTGTTCTAAAAATCTTCCATCGATTGCTGTTCATATATAATAGATTTACCGAGAACTTTTGCGAAGATTGTTGTTCTTTGCTAATTACTTAGTGTTTCAAGTTGCCATTTTGCAGATATGTCGATCGTATTTTTCAATGGATTCAGTTAAAATGATAACGGCACAGTCGATGATATCTTAACAAATTTGATCATAAGGAGAATATGCTCTGAGATCGCTTATACACATCGATTATATTTACCTTTGACGTCGATCCATGTCGTTGTCAACGAAGGAGGTTTACACGAAATGATTTTGTTTGAATGTTTGATAGGGTGAATGTCACTCATAAGATGATTGGTTCACAAAAGCTGCTGGACTAAGAACGACTAGTGATCGTTGATCAGGATCTTCTTCAGTCAATACCCGTAGTCGTTCTTCACCTGTGTGTGCATTATAATTGATATTCAAGAATTCCTTGTTTACCACAGGTTTGAACACCGAATGACGAGTCGAAGAGATCTATTATTTGACGAACGCATTGTTTGAATGCAACCTTACCGAAAGTTTCTTTGGTCTGACACATCGATACCGATTTTTCGGATCAGGAACAACAACAGAGGAAACAGACGAGTGTGACTTCTGATAGCTTCTTCTGTGAACACAACAATGGATGTGCAAGTGTCAACAATTGATCTCAGAATAAACCCTTCGCCTTCTCGTCATCCCGTATAGAGGCCGTGATATGGATTTCTTTCTTGATGAGACCACGAGCAATCCCACTTTCAATGAAGTAGAATGAGAAACCTGAGACGATTTTTATAGGGTAGTACATCAGTGTGAAGTTGAATAGAAATGGTGTCCTTGACACGTGTTAATAGAGAAGATAGATGAGAGATGAGAGATCGTTCTGCAGTCTGATGAAACAACGCATGTGATTCACAACTTTCATCAGGTTCAAATTAATTGGAACAAAATGTCATAGTTATTCTAAAAAGTTTTATCAACGTAATAGATCACACTTCATGACGCTATATGCCTATTCATTGTTGAATCATAAGTTTTACCTGTGTTCTTTCCAGACAAATGGACAAAGCTTTTGTCGAGGAATTAAACAGTCTTTCATTTCGACAAAAACTGCGTATAAATAATAGAATATATGAAAAAGAAATCGAATAGTTACAGTTCGTTTACGAGAAAACTACTCGAATTGACTTCGAATTCTTTTCTTCATGTTTTGGCCATAAGTAAAACTCTTACGATATATCGAGAGGAAATAACTCAGCTTGAGTAAAAACTGTATTAAAGCCACCATGTCTATACCTTAAGATATGGCTCTATAATTTAAATCTTCAAATCAGAATGGTAATATAAAGCAGACGAAGCCGTGGTTACTGTATTGTAAATAAGTAAATCAATGATATTATCATTACAAATCAACGTTTTCTCTTAATCTTATGAGTGAATATTTCGTTATAATTCGAAATTGTCGATTGTAACAACGAGGACATTTTAGTAAGAATGTAAAATATAAACCCGTTAATACTTTCTGCAGGATAAAAATAATAGTAGTGACTTTACACGTTTATGTTCATGAACAACACTAAAGAGTATGTAATAACTATGATAGTTTTCCTAAATCACTCACAACTATTTTATACTGTTTGGAAATAGTGTTAGTTTCTAATCTCGAGATTTTTCTCGACAAAATGCTTTTAAATCTGACAGTCATTTCCAATGATTCAGCACCAAAAGCAATTCCGCTAGAGATTTCAATGTTTGTGACGAATTCTATTCATTTATATCCTCAACTTACCATTCGTTTACTCGACTTAATGGGAATTGTTGTCAATGTCATAAATAATCTTCAGCCTGAGTTACGTTCAAATACTTACTGCATTTATCTACTCTGTAGCTCATTCGTTGATGTAGTGAGTCTCTACGCGAACGTTTTCCCATATTATCTAAATAAGGCAAATATCAAATTTATCCAATATGGTTATGATCAACAGAATTATGTAAACTCTTTTATTTTCTTCTACAATTTTCTGCCACAACTGTCTATCAACATTATAATTTTGAGTATCATCGATCGATCTGTTTGCAAATGTCCTTAAAAAGTTTTATGATATGTACAATATAACGATTAACGGTGTTATTCAATCAGTTGTCATACTCGTATTTACTCTACTCATTTACAAAAATATTTGTTTAGGCCGACAACGAGTATTAAAGAGAATCAAATAGTGATCTTAGAAATCTGACTTGTTCATTTTAGGATGAAATTATTCGCTTAACTTCATTATCTATTCATTCATTCTTCAACATTTTCTTTATATTGTATTACATATCTCATTTAGGAAGCGATTTGTGAAACAATAAAATGAAGAAAATGCGATTTATAGTTTCAACTGATACTCTCGTCAATCAAACTGCAAAGAAAATATTTTACTTTGATGAGAGTGAGACCAGTGTCTGCATTCTCGAAAATCAACATCATTGAAAATAAGCTTTATGATATGAACTTTATTATAAAATACCATTTAAAATCATATATCAATCAATTCACACTATAAGAAGAATGTTCAATTATTTTCTTGATCACTGATGACAATTTTACAATTTGGAAGGATTATAAGCAACATTCGTAACTACAAGATCGTTTTTTCTGATATCATCGATCGTTTGACATCCACACAACATCATCGCCAATCGAAATTCTTTCTTCAATATTTCTAATATATTATATACACCTTGTGTTCCATCTACTGCTAAACCCCATAGAACTGGTCGTCCAATAAGTACGGCTTTTGCACCTAATGCTATAGCTTTTAAAATATCTGTTCCTCGTCGCACTCCTCCATCAACAAAGACATCGATCTGTCGATTTTCATTACTAACAGCTTTGATAACATCTGGCAATGCATCAATTGTGCTAAGACATGTATCTAATTGTCGTCCACCATGATTCGATACAACCACACCTTGTACACCATGTCTAACAGCTTGACGAGCATCGTCAGGATGAATAATACCTTTGATAATCAGTGGCAATGATGTGATAGATCGTATCCAATCAAGATCTTTCCATGACAATGATGGATCAAATGGTATATGATAACTTTTTGAAACATAGTTATTGTCTTTATCAATAAGATTTTCAGCCCGAATTCCATCGGGAAGTGTGAAATTGTTATGAACATCACATTCTCTGTTACCCGGTACACTTGTATCAACTGTCAGAAGTATAGCTGAATATCCATTTTTCTCTGCGCGTTTGATTAATTTCTGTGTATATTGTCGATCTTTCAATACGTATAATTGATACCAGAGTTTCGAAGTACTGTGAGGATAGTTTTCCTTAATTTGTCGTCGATGTTCTTCAGCAACTCGCTCCATACTTGTTGATGAATTCGTACTAACTCACATGATGGTTGAATGAGCTACAGCTGCTCGAACAGTTGCTAATTCTCCATTTTCGTTATCGACTAATCGATGAAAAGCTGTTGGAGCGATGATACACGGAAATCCGATTGTCATTGTCGAATTTAAAATTTGTGTTTGACAATTTGTCGAATCTTGTTTTGTATGTGAAGATACGTCGATAAGCATCTTCGGACGCAATTTAATGCGTCGAAATGCTGCCTGATTGTCAATTAATGTTAGTTGATCATCCGAGCCAGTGCTGTAAAAATCGTATGTCATTTTTTCTAATTTTTCTTTGGCTTTTTTATGATAATCTTCAATATTCAACAAAGCCTTGGTTCGTTCTGATGAACTGTTTTCGGATGCTTTATGCATGTTGATTTATCTTCTAAATCTAAAAACAAAAATTGGAAGGATTTTATTGAATGTGAAATCCACCTTTTCTGACCCACTTTCTTCTCCTAGAACGAGTATTTCTTATAGTTAAGTGCGATGTTTTATATACTCAAAAGATAAATCTTTTCGTTCGATGAATGATGAAGTGAAAGATAAAAAAAGTTGCAATGACTTTGTATAACGGGTGCCTAGAGATATAACTGATAGGAGAATGACACAGATTTATTTCGTGTAGAAACACTTTAGAATCGAAAGGCCAAAGAAATACTGAAAATTGAAAAGGGAAGAAACGGTCGCTATGATTATATCATTGTGTGTTCAATCTTTCGTGACAAGGAATGGGTAAACTACATTTAAACATCACTACTATCTCTCCGAGACTCATATATCATGGAATAAAGAGTAATTATCGAAATGTTTCATTGTCTCAAGAACAATTCGATACGAAAAAGAATTTTCAAACATATACGATTCTAAGCTTTATTTCAGTTTCTCCATAATACAAATCAAAATAAAAAATAAAAAAAGATGAAAAGTCTGAGAATGTTTCAGTTGTTGGTTTATAACCATTGATAAGGTCTAGCGTGAATAAACGATTTGATTTCAATTCCATTACCGGATGGATCCAATACGAATAGAACATGTTGTTCGTGTTGTTTGCCGAGAAATCGTAAACCTGGTTCGCGAACAAAAGTTACCTTAGCGTCTTTCAATTTTGTAGCGATTTGATCAAATGTTTCTTTATCAGGAAGCACAACGCCAAAATGTGGAACAGGTACATCTTCACTATCAACTTCTCGTTGTAAATTCAACGCATTGTAGTCGGGAATGACATGTAACGTCAATTGACTACCAAACATATTGTAATGAATCGATCCCGAAGTTGTCCGACGCTCTTCCAAACCTAAGATATCACCATAGAATCGTCGTGTTGTCTCGAAGTTATTCACACAAATCGACAAATGAAATGGCAATGGAACAGCATCTGTGTTATTACCAATCGTCATCTTTAGTATTTTCGTTTCTTGAAATAGTTCTAAAATAAAGTTAATCAAGTGATAGTTTCTTCAAGTTTGATAAAACACAAAACCGTGCTGTTGTTGCGCACTAATAAAGGAAGTTCTATGCATCTCGAATCTAGTTGGAATTACTTCTGACTGAACTCAAATGTGCTGTCTTAGTCTATCGATACAAAGACTTTTTCTTTGCGTAATAATGTTTATTCGTATCTCATGTCTCGCAACGTCACTCTTTCCATTGTTTTAGATCGAAAATGAAATTTACTTTCTCTATCCTTAGGACTCCAGTACTAAGTGAGTTTTCTTCCAAATAATGCATGATCTTTTATACAGTTCAATTGAAAAGAAAAAAAAACGCAATGGTATCAGATAAGATAAACGATGATCTTTGTTTTTTTTTCAAGGATGAAAAGTAGAACAACCTTTTTATTTTGCGTGTCGTATAATTGTAGCAAAATGTTTTAAAAGAACGAGATGACTCTGCATATCGAGTTCGTCGAGATGTTTCTAATAAAATAATGGTACGTTTTTTTCATATAAGCCCTGAAATTTTCGAAATTGTGAAGTGCAAAAGATATGAATTGAGATCTAGAGCAACCTATTTCTACACAAAGAAATGACAGAGTGTCAGTGTGTTCTTTTGTTTTTCGTTCGCTTGATAACCAGTTTAGTTGACATGAAATGAAATGAAAATTTCTGTTGACTCAACTGCACTCACGTCACGTTTACAACAGAATCTTCTCGAGGACGCGATGTAAGAATTTTAGTAGCATTCGGCAGTAGTTTCTTTTCATCAGAAAAAAATCCAGGTAAAATGGAACACTTTTTAACGAATGTCATTTTCTACTAAATAAACTTCAAATATTCATTTTAGATACTATTTTAAAGTATGACTGATCGAAACGAAGAGAAAGATAATGATCAAGAAGATGAACTATTATCTTCTGCCTTAGAAAACACACCTCGAAATGTTCAACTTCAATCATTTCTGAACCGTTATGAAACTCGTCAACCGAAATTATTATTCACTGATCATTTTCAACAACACGTGAAAAGACGTTGTTCGTCAATGAGTTTTTTGTATTGTTTAAATGCATTACTGGATATGATACCTATCGTTCGTTGTTTGAAAGAATATAACATACGAAAAAACTTATTTGGAGATCTTATTGCGGGTTTCACAGTGTCAATCATGCATATTCCACAAGGTAGATTATCCGAAAATGATCTTATTTGATTTTCATATTCTCAAAATAGGTATGGCGTATGGTGTTTTAGCAACTTTACCATCTATCCATGGTAAATTATTTGGATCGTTTTATTAATTTCCTACTGATTCTACTTAGGATTATATGTTTCGTTTTTTCCTGTTATTATCTATATGATCTTTGGAACATGTCCACATTTGTCAATCGGTAAATGAAAGATTGTTTTGAAAGAGATTTGATCTAATGGAATTGTAGGATCATTTGCTGTTGTATCATTGATGACCGCACAAGCGATTGAAAATGTAATACAATTACCAATGAATGGAATGAGGAATAATCAAACATCGTTTTCATTTTCAACCGAATCAGATTTGTTAATGACTGACGAACGAATAAATTTAGCCACTACATTGGCACTTCTCGTTGGTGTTGTTCAAGTAAATTTCAACTAATTCTCATACAATTAATTCCTTTCAATATGATGTTCATTTAGTTATCATTGTCTTTTCTTCGACTTGGCTTTTTAACAGTTTATCTAACTGAACCGTTTATCAGTGGTTTCACAACAGGCGCTGCTATGCATGTTTTCACCAGTCAAATTCCATTACTATTTGGAATCAGAACTCCGCGAGGAATAGGCAAAATACTGAAATTACCACGATTCTATGTGAAAATATTTCATTTGCTATATCATGAAATTAATTGGATGTCAACAGCAATTGGTCTTGTTTCGATTGTTGTTTTGTACGTCGCTAAATCTCTCAATGATCGTTACAAATCTACAATTCGAATTGTACTTCCATCAGAATTAATTTTAGTATGTCTATTTTCGATCGAATCCAACGGGAGAATTCATTGTTTTTTTTTTCAAGATGATTATGTGGACGATCGTATCATATTTTACTAAACTTCATCAAAAATATAGTGTACCAGTGGTTGGAGAAATTAAACGAGGTTTACCAACGCCAACCATTCCATCCTTCGAAAGTTTTAATCAATTGATTATCTCCGCTGTTGTCATTGCTGCTGTTAGTTTGTCGATTTCAATATCATTGGCAAAGATGTTTAGTCGAAAACATAATTATAAAGTTAGTTCGAATCAGGTATGTTCCAACGAACGAAGTTTTCTTATGAGAAAATCTTGTTTTCACAAATAGGAGTTGTTCGCATATGGAATGGCGAATGTGATTTCATCGTTCTTTCAATGTTATCCAAGTGCGTGTCCATTGGGTCGTTCCGTTGTTCAAGAAGGTAGTGGAGGCAAAACGATGCTAACGGGTGGATTTTCTTCGATTATTTTGGGTACCGTTATTATCGCATTGGCTCCTCTTCTTCGATCAGTACCTATGACATGTTTATCAGCGATTATTATTGTTAATTTAAAAGGATTTTTTCTTCAAAGCAGAGATTTTCTCTTTTACTTTCGTATCAATTCATTCGAATGTGTAAATAGAAAGAAAATTCTCCTTAAACAAAAACGTGTCTTTTCGTTTTCCGTAGATTTTATGGACAATGACATTCATGACTGTTCTTCTATTTGATGTTGATATCGGTCTCTATGTTGGCATATCAACATCATTCATTATCAATACAGTAAGAACACAAAAGTGAGTCGTAGATATGTTAAGCAAATCGAAAGAAAAATCGAATGCTTAGACCTCGATTCGTCACTCTTGGGCAAATTGAAAAAACTGAAATTTATGAAGATATTCATCGTTTTCCTTTAGTGAGTAAACAGTTTATTCACTCTGATCAATTGAGTTGTGAGATTTTCAGGCACACGAATATCCTCGAGTGAAAATTCTTCGTTTTAACGAATCACTCTATGCCTGTAATGCACCGTTTTTCAAACGCAAGCTCTACGAATTTATCGATATTCAATTTACCCAATCACCGTTGATCTCATATGGTACTGAAAAGACAAATATCAACCTTTCAATCTATAAATTTGTTGTTCTGGAATGTTCACCGTTTAATTATATCGATACAGTTGGAGTGAAACTTCTGATTGAAGTAAAGATTTGGAAATTAGATGGACAATATAGTTCGTGTACTTTTTAGATTTACAAAGATTTGAAAAAGCGAGGAATTCAATTGTATTTGAGCGAATGTCGATGTAGGGCTGTATGAAGGGAAAATATTTTTTTGGAATTTGTTTTCTTTTAAGCTGAAGTTCGACATACATTAGATGAAATGCAATTCTATGACAAAACTGATTCTGGTTCGATTTACGTTACGACACATGGTGCAGTTATGGCTGCGAAATATCACTTGGATAATGGTAGATCTCATTTCTGATTTACATAGAAAATATGCATTGTTTTCTGTTTAGAGACAACGAACAATGATCAAAGAAGTCAAGTTTAATCTTTTCTTCTATTTAATTGGATTTAATAAAGAAAACAATACAGTTAATAGTGAGAAGTAGAGCATAATATAATAAATCAGTTTGCTATAAGAGCCTTTCCGTCCTAAACACAAAGATATCACCCAATAAATGAACTTTTTAAATACGTCTAGCGAATCAATTCAAAGTTCAGAGCATAATGTTTTTTGCGACGTTTGATATATTCCTTGAGATCGTAACAATCAACATTGAATGCTACCTCGCTCGTAGGGTATAAGTCAAAAGTGACATGATTTGTGAATGAATATACAAAGAGATTGTTACGACGACTATCTTGGAAGTAAGAAATGCGTTTATTCAATTACATCGTCATCTTTCACATCCTATAATTTGTTCGGTATGGTGTATTAAAAGACATCGGCGTGAGCTATGGTTTACTTTATTTGATTGGTAATCATCATTTTTCTTAAGAGACATTGTCACAATATAAACAAAGTTTACAATCGTAATGATTTTATCTCTGTCTTTCCTTTCGAACTTGTTTTTTTCTTTGTTATTAGAGTGAGATTAACAATAATCTCTAAAAGCAGCGCCCCCCAAAGGCATATGCAGTTGGTTTTGACCTGAAATCTTTTCATTATTATTTGTTGACCTTTACTGTCAAATCAATGAAGAGATTTAGTGATAACGTGTGTTATCGAGCAAATATTTTCTCCTTTAATCCGATTGAAATATGAAATTGTGAAAGAGCATCTTTCACTCTTTAGAAACAACTCAAATGAAATTGTTCTTGTTATTTATATCAAAATTGATATTCTGTTCATCGAATGAAACAAAAGCAAAGTTAACGTTGGACGATTATTTCGATTTTACAAATTATCCTTCGATAAACTTTTCTCCCAACGATCAACATCTGCTGATTCAATTGAAACGTCCATTATGGAATTCGGATTCTTATGAGAATAGTTTATGGCTCTATAACACCGAAACTAAGATCAAGCAGTTAATTACAAGTGCACTTTCCACATCGATAAAACCGCAATGGTCACCGAGTGGAAGCTGGATTGCTTGTTCACTAAACAAAAGTCCTTTATCTGAAGAGCAATCAAATCCGAATGAATTTCTTTACTTGTATTCAGTTGTGTCAAACGAATGGTTTCCTATTCACATCGGCAAAGTGTTTTTATTAACTTTCACATGGTCAAGTGATGATTCCTCTCTTTACATTGTTACACTTACAAAAGAAGATCAAACTTTGCAGGAGATCGAATGGAAAGATGTAATCCAATATCGACCATCTAAATCGAATGATGGCAGTGCAATTTATCGTATTGATATCGAAAAGAATAATCGGACAATATCGACGAGCAGATCTTTTATAAAAAATCTTCCGTTTTTAATAACAGAATTATTATTTATTCCATTCGAAGAACAACTTGTATTCGTTTCTTCGTCATCACTTATTGAAAAAATGGAAAAGATCGAGATGTATTCTCTTGACCTGCAAAATCGATCGAGTCTATTAAGATTAACAACCAATGATCTGTGGGAAAACGATTTACGGTTATCAGACGACAAAAAGCACGTACTGTTCTTAGCTTTCAATAAAGAGTTGACTGACGGAAGATTGAATAGTGTTCAACAGCGATTGTATTCATTAGATTTGACCAATGGACATATCGAACGTTTTGGAAAAGATTTTCATGGAAATATCGCAGGATATATGACCAAAGTCGACGGCGGAGTTTACATTTTAGGGCAACTTGGTACAGAAACTCAGATTTACACGCAACAATCGCCAACAGACAGGATGGTATGGCACCAAGGATGGAATGGAACTTACGAACGAATTTCTTCACCATCGAAACGGAATGGTTCGATTGCATTTATCTATTCATCATTTGAACGACCAAAAGAAGTTTATCTCACTGATAATATCGATAAATTGCAATCAGCAAAGGCAATAACAAATGAAAATAAACTGTTTACGGAGCGAGAGTTACCAAAAGCGCAAATTTATCACTGGAAAAATCGCGAAGATCAACGAACGATCGAAGGCATTCTTCATTATCCACCGGGACAATTTCACTCGAAAAATCTGCCACTGCTCGTTCTTGTTCATGGCGGTCCAGGACCTGCTAGTACTAATTCATTTACTGCCGACTGGTACACTTGGGCACCATTGGCAGCATCAGAAGGTTGGCTTGTTTTCGAACCTAACTACCGAGGTACATTCNGATACAACAGCAAATGATCCGCACAAGCGATTGAAAATGTGATACAATTACCAATGAATGGAATGATGAATAATCAAACATCGTTTTCATTTTCAACCGAATCAGATTTGTTAATGACTGACGAACGAATAAATTTAGCCACTACACTGGCATTTCTCGTTGGTTTTGTTCAAGTAAATTTCAATTAATTCTCATGAAATTAATTCTTTTCCATATGATGTTCGTTTAGTTATCATTGTCTTTTCTTCGACTTGGCTTTTTAACAGTCTATCTAACTGAACCGTTTATCAGTGGCTTCACAACAGGCGCTGCAATGCATGTTTTCACCAGTCAAATTCCATTACTATTTGGAATCAGAACTCCGCGAGGAATAGGCAAAATACTGAAATTACCACGATTCTATGTGAAAATATTTCGTTTGTTGTATCATGAGATTAATTGGATGTCAACAGCGATTGGTCTTATTTCGATTGTTGTTTTGTACTTCGCTAAATCTCTCAATGATCGTTACAAATCTACAATTCGAATTGTACTTCCATCAGAATTAATTTTAGTATGTCTATTGTCGATCAAATTCAACTAGAATTCATTGTTTTTTCAAGATGATTATGTGGACGATCGTATCATATTTCACTAAACTTCATCAAAATTATAGTGTTCCAGTAGTTGGAGAAATTAAACGAGGTTTACCGACGCCCACCATTCCAACATTCGAAAGTTTCAATCAGTTGATTATCTCGGCTGTTGTCATTGCTGCTGTTAGTTTGTCGATTTCAATATCATTGGCAAAGATGTTTAGTCGAAAGCATAATTATAAAGTTAGTTCGAATCAGGTATGTTTCAACGAACGAAGTTTCCTTATGAGAAAATCTTGTTTTTACAAATAGGAGTTGTTCGCGTATGGAATGGCGAATGTGATTTCATCGTTCTTCCAATGTTATCCAAGTGCGTGTCCATTGGGTCGTTCCGTTGTTCAAGAAGGTAGTGGAGGAAAAACGATGCTAACAGGCGGATTTTCTTCGATTGTTTTGGGCACAGTTATTATCGCATTGGCTCCTCTTCTTCGATCAGTACCTATGACATGTTTATCAGCAATTATTATTGTTAATTTAAAAGGATTTTTCCTTCAAAGCAGAGATTTTCTCTTTTACTTTCGTATCAATTCATTCGAATGTGTAAATAGAAAGAAAATTTTCCTTAAACCAAAACATGTCTTTTCGTTTTCCGTAGGTTTTATGGACAATGACATTCATGACCGTTCTTCTATTTGATGTTGATATCGGTCTCTATGTTGGCATATCAACATCATTTATTATCAATACAGTAAGAACACAAAAGTGAGTCGTAATTATGTGAAGCAAATCGAAAGTAAAATCGAATGCTTAGACCTCGATTCGTCACTCTTGGGCAAATTGAAAAAACCGAAATTTATGAAGATATTCATCGTTTTCCTTTAGTGAGTAAACTGTTTATCCGCTTTGATCAAATGAACTGTGAGATTTTCAGGCAAAAGAATATCCTCGAGTGAAAATTCTTCGTTTTAACGAATCGCTCTATGCCTGTAATGCACCATTTTTCAAACGCAAGCTCTACGAATTTATCGGTATTCAGGTCATCCAATCACCGTTGATCGCATATGGCACTGAAAAGACAAACATCAACCATTCAATCTATAAATTTGTTATTGTGGAATGTTCACCGTTTAATTATATCGATACAGTTGGGGTGAAACTTCTGATTGAAGTAAAGACTTGGAAATTAGATGGAAAATATAGTTCGTGCACTTTCTAGATATACAAAGAATTGAAAAAGCGAGGAATTCAATTGTATTTGAGTGAATGTCGATGTAGGGCTGTATGAGGGGAAAATATTTTTTCGAATTTGTTTTCTTTTAAGCTGAAGTTCGACATATATTAGATGAAATGCAATTCTATAAGAAAACTGATTCTGGTTCGATTTACCTTACGACACATGGTGCAGTTATGGCTGCGAAATATCATTTAGATAATGGTAGATCTCATTTCTGATTTACATAGAAAATATGCATTGGTTTTTGTTTAGAGGCAATGAACAATGATCAAAGAAGTCCAGTTGTGGAAAATCAAGTTTAATCTTTTCTTCTATTTGATTAGATTTAATAAAGAAAACAATACAATGAATAGTGAGAAGTAGAGCATAATAAATCCTTTTGTTATAAGAGTGTTTCCGTCGTAAATACAAAGATACCACCCAATAATAGAACTTTTCAAATAACGTCTAGCGAATCGATTCAAAGTTCAGAGCATAATGTTTTGTTTTGCTGCGTTTGATATATTCCTTGAGATCGTAACAATCAACATGGAATGCCGCCTATTGCTTTTAGGGTATAAGTCAAGAGTGACATGATTTGTAAATGAATATATATATAAGGAGATTGTTACGACGACCATCTTGAGAGTAAGGAATGCGTTTATTCAATTACATCGTGATCTTTCAGATCCTATGATTTGTTCAGTGTGGTGTATTAAATGACATCGGTATGAGCAACGGTTTACTTTATTTGACTATGATAAACATAGTTTTTCTTAAGAGATATTTGTCAGAATATAAACAAAGTTTACAATCGTAAAGATTTTATCTCTGTCTTGCTTTTCGTCTTTGTTATTAGAGTGAGATTAACAATAATCTCTAAAAGTAACGCCCCCCAAAGGCATATGCAGTTGGTTTTGACCTGAAATCTTTTCATTATTATTTGTTGACCTTTACTGTCAAATCAATGAAGAGATTCAGTGATAACGTGTTTTATCGAGCAAATATTTTCTCCTTTAATCCGATTGAAATATTAAATTGTGAAAGGGCATCTTTCACTCTTCAGAAACAACGCAAATGAAATTGTTCCTGTTATTTATATCGAAATTGATAATCTGTTCATCGAATGAAACAAAAGCAAAGTTAACCTTGGACGATTATTTCGATTTTACAAATTATCCTTCGATAAACTTTTCTCCCAACGATCAACATCTGCTGATTCAATTGAGACGCCCATTATGGAATTCACATTCTTATGAAAATAGTTTATGGGTCTATAACATCGAAACAAAGACCAAGCAGTTAATCACAAGTGCACTCTCCACATCGATAAAACCTCAATGGTCACCGAGTGGAAGCTGGATTGCTTGTTCACTAAACAAAAGTCCCTTACCCGACGAGCAATCAAATCCGAATGAATTTCTTTACTTGTATTCAGTTGTGTCAAACGAATGGTTCCCTATTCACATCGGCAAAATGTTTTTATTAACTTTCACGTGGTCAAATGATGATTCCTCTCTTTACATTGTTACACTTACAAAAGAAGAACAAATTTTGCAGGAGACCGAATGGAAAGATGTAATTCAATATCGACCATCGAAATCGAATGATGGCAGTGCAATTTATCGTATTGATATCGTAAAGAATAATCGGACAATATCGACGAGCAGATCTCTTATAAAAAATCTTCCGTTTTTAATAACTGAATTATTATTTATTCCATTCGAAGAACAACTTGTGTTCGTTTCGTCGTCATCACTTATTGAAAAAATGGACAAGATCGAGATGTATTCTCTTGACCTGCAAAATGGATCGAGTCTATTAAGATTAACAACCAATGATCTGTGGGAAAACGATTTACGGTTATCAGACGACAATAAGCATGTACTGTTCTTAGCTTTCAATAAAGAGTTAACTGACGGAAGATTGAATAGTGTTCAACAGCGATTGTATTCATTAGATTTGACTAATGGACATATCGAACGTTTTGGAAAAGATTTTCATGGAAATATCGTAGGATATATGACCAAAGTTGACGGCGGGGTTTATATTTTAGGGCAACTTGGAACAGAAACTCAGATTTACACACAACAATCGCCAACGGACAGGATGGTTTGGCACCAAGGATGGAATGGAACTTACGAACGAATTTCTTCACCATCGAAACGGAATGGTTCGATTGCATTTATCTATTCATCATTCGAACGACCAAAAGAAGTTTATCTCACTGATAATATCGATGAATTGCAATCAGCAAAAGCAATAACAAATGAAAATAGACTGTTTACGGAGCGAGAGTTACCGAAAGCGCAAATTTATCAATGGAAAAATCGCGAAGATCAACGAACAATCGAAGGCATTCTTCATTATCCACCGGGACAATTTCAATCGAAAAGTCTGCCACTGCTCGTTCTTGTTCATGGCGGCCCGGGACCTGCTAGTACTAATTCATTTACTGCCGACTGGTACACTTGGGCACCATTGGCAGCATCGGAAGGTTGGCTAGTTTTCGAACCTAACTATCGAGGTACATTCGGTTATGGTGATGAATTCCATAATGAAATCTTTGGTCGACCTCTATCTCTACCTGGGAAAGACATTCTTTTCGGAGTTGATCAACTCGTCGACGATGATATTGCCGATCAAAATAGACTTGCCGTTGGTGGTTATAGCTACGGAGGATTTCTAACAAATTGGTTGATTACACAAACAACACGTTTCAAGGCTGCACTGTCCGGTGCTGGTCAAATGGAACATGTCTCCTCTTGGGGCACAGTTTATATGCCGACATTCATTGCTTCTCTTCTCGGAGGCTTTCCATGGGAAGTAGCAGAAAAGTACAGGCAGGAATCACCTATGTATCACTTATCTCGAGTTCGAACACCTACACATATCGTCACAGGTGACAAAGATGAACAAGCGAAACCCAGTCAGAGTGTTATGCTAGAACGTGCACTCTATTATCTCGAAATACCTGTTCAATTATTGATTTTTCCAAATGAAGGCCACGGATTGAGCAAAAATCCTTGGTCAGGAAAAATCAAAGTTCGTGAAGAATTGAAATGGTTACACAAATATGTCAATCAGAGTCTATAGCTTCCGATTTTGGATCAACAATTGCTTTCTTTTTTTTTCTTTTTTTTTCTTTTATTTTGTATGAATAAAGTATTAACTACAAATCTGTAAAAACAAATCGATGCCTTTCATTGTCAGTTGCAGAAATATTAACTGAAGATCGACATGGCTCAATCTGGTAATTTCGCGTATAGGTGTATGTCTCGGGTATTTATATTATATCTGTTTTCAAACAAATCAAAGGCACTACTTTTGGTGAATGAATTTCTACGACATGAACAGCTCGATGTGACTATATTTATTGATAGTCAGGCAATTAGATGAAAGCGAAAAACACGAAAGTAGATTATGCGTATGCAAACGCACTTTCTGTATGCTCGTGCCGTTCTTTGATTCACCTTGCTGTTCTACTGTTGACAATTGTGATAAAGGAAGAAAAATTTCTCTCGTATTTGATATAAAAACAAAGCCACATGTTTTTTCTCCATATTTATCTTAATAGGCCATTTTGGTCGTCGTTGTGCAGCGAAGAAATAACCCAATGGCCAATGGAACAACTGAAGATAAGTTAAGCGCTTGTTGCTTAACTGAATATCGTCCCTTACCGGGAACTCCACGTGGACGAATAATCAAATTTGCCGGTGTTGATACTTATTTTATTGAAGGCAATGATCAGAAATCAAAAGGAAAAGTTATCGTCCTTCTAACTGATGTATTTGGTTTAGTCAAAAATCCCCGTATTATCGCGGATGAAGTATCGGAAAAGACTGGGATGGATGTCTATGTGCCTGATTTATTCAACGGTGATGCTGTTCATTCGTCCTTCATGAAAGATGCACCCGAAGCGCCCGGCGAAAAGAAATCGATCGGTGCAAAAGTAATGTTCATGAAGGAAATGATCTGAAAAGCAAAATTTGAATTTTAGCTGAGCCTTGTGGGAAAGTTATTGACACAATTAGGGCCATGGATAATTCGACATCGTCAAGGTGTTACTCTTCCCATTGTAGAGAAATTTTTCAAAGTATGCTTTTTAGTACAAATTTTCTCTCGTTCAGTTTATTGAAGTTTGATTTTGAAAGGCACTTCGCGCGGAAAGAAACGCAACTCGAATCCAATCCGTTGGTTACTGCTTTGGCGGTCTTTACACGTTATTAGCTGGAGGATCACTTCATCTTGCAGATGCCATTGTCGGTTGTCACGTCTCGTTGACGAATAAGACTCATTTTGAACAATTACAAGTACCAGCAGCATTCGCTTGTGCACAAGAGGACGATCAGTTTCCAGATTCTCTTCGAATAGAAGCACAACAAATTCTTGCGCGGAAATCGGAGATACCAAGTAAATTTGTGTTATGCGATGGCACAGTACATGGTTTTGCTTCTCGACCAAATCCAGACAATCCTACTATCATGGCAGCATTCAAACAAGCCAATGATTTAATTGCAGAATGGGCGACAACTCATCTGTAACAAACGCAGTTCGGTACTTTTGTTATAGAAAGATACTGCGCAGCTTATTCTTACGCTATATACACGTTTAAATATATCTGAAAGGGTGGGAAATGAAGTCATCACATATCCTCGCTCTCGAAACATATCAGCGGAATGTAACGTTGTTTAAAATGATCTGTAGTGATGAAATAAAATAATAGCGAAAATTCACAACAAATACCATTGAGTTTAACAGAATTCCTCCAGTTAATGTATAAATATAAAATGGCATTGTACTTCCTAAATAAGTTAATTAACTAGACGATGAATCGTGAAAAATTGCATATAATCTTTGAATTGATTGAAGTATTGTCAATGCATTTACATATATCAGATCTGTTACTAATTGACCAATATGACCTTTTTGAGTAGCATTTAAATGCCGCGTTATAACACCAAAACACCTGTCCATAAACAATGAGTGACATTATGATAATAAATATACGGAATTTGCTTCAGTATATTGAACAAGAAAATGAATATTTTCTTTGAAATCTTTTGTTTTTTTGTTTTGTTGGTATGTTGAGAGCGTAAAGCGCTCGACGATCGTTTTGCACATCGCTATGATATACCGTATTTTATTCACGTCTTAGTTCGTTTCGTTTATGTACATGTTACATTGAAACACCTGTATTTAAGTATATGTACGAACGTACTTCGAAGACAAACGGCCTTTGGAATATATAAAACAATATTTTACGCAGATCTGTAATGTATGAACGTCATCTCCTTACTTATATTCGTCATGCTTTACACTCGTGCTTGTTAATGAAGCGGGTGATTTGCGACAGTCTTGTTAATAGATGAGTCCCTCGTTTATAATGATGCAATGGGGAAAACGTCAGTATTTTGCGTCTAAACCTTAGAAGACACATGTATTTATTTTCGTCATCGTTATTCATAACGAAATTATTCTCAAAATAGTCGTGTTTTGTGTTTACGTATTTTGCATTTCTTTTTCCTGTGAAGGAAGCAACAAAAAGCACTCATTTACCCTTGTCGGCTTCGATATAATATATAAACCTGTACCTTAAGAATATTCATACACGTAAAAATGGACAGGCTTCTAATAATAGTGTTAACTATGGTTTCACTTTTAGGTTTCGGTGATGCCGAGTAAGTGCTAACAAGTTGAAAAGAAATTCAGATTGTTTTTTTTTCTACCTTAAGTCAGTCAGTGTCGTGTACAACTAATTCAACTTGGAGTCTAAATGGATTGATCGTAGCTGGTGGTAACAATAATAGTGTGTATCGGAATTTTAGACCGTTCGATTTTGCATTCGACAGTCAACACAATGTGTATGTTGCTGATCCGGATGAGACACAGATATTGATGTATCCCTATAATTATACAATTGGACAAGTGCCTACTGTAGTTTTATCTAATGTTTCATGTCAAGCGTTGTATATCGATAATTATGATAATTTATATTTTGGTGATAGTGGTTCAGTGAAAATCCTTAATCGTACTACTGGAAATATAACAGTCTTTACTAAGTCGTATTACAGCATTATTTTTCAACAATATCAACCATTGGTTTCTCCATCCAATCTTTATATTGATTCGAAGTCGCGATTATATGTATCAGATCGCGGAATGCGAGTGATACGATATCTGCTTGATCAGCCGAACAATAGCACAGTTCTCACTGATGCAAGTAGTGGTCCGGGTATTTCGCAATGTATTTTCATCGATGAAACCGATAATAATGCATTTTATACTTGTATTTGGCCTTCAACAATAGTGAAGTTTACCAACGATGGAGCAAATTGGACGACGATAGCTGATGGCAAAACACTTGCAAGCAATACCAGTGCAAATGTTTCATTAAGTTTCGATTCAGTAATAGTTGATTCTCTTGCTCAACAATTGTATATATCAGATGGTATAAATCATCGTATCATTCGATGGTCACTATCGAACAGCTCACAACAAGGACAAGTTATCATTCAACTTCCAAACACAACGAGTCAACGCAGAATCAGACTCGATAAAGACAAAAATCTATATGTTGGAGCCATTGACGATGTGACCGGTGGGCAAGTTTTGAAATATATCAATTGCAATCCAAATCAAACCATTACGATAACTACATCAACTACTACTGCAACTACGTACACATCAATGACTACAACTACTTCAATTGCTAATAGTACTTCTAATGTTGCTGCTATGAACTCAGTTGCTTGGAATTTCGCGACATTGTATATATTTGTATCTATCACGATGATCATTCATTTTTTGTAACGGTTCATGTAGATGTGCGGGTTAATCAGCTGTTTATCGTTTGATAACAACCACCGAATACAAAAAAAATAGGAATCGGATGACTGAACAAATTGTTAATTAAGTTATTTTTATTCTAAAGAATTCAAGATCCGAACTGACGAACAGTAAACGTGGCATTCAGTGTCACAGGTACAACTCGAGTCTGTCTTTGACAAAAATAATTCCTAACAATATTTCGAATTTCTTGATCAAGATATATAATAACTAATTTCTCTATATTGACAGCAAATGTAACCGAAACCACGCCAAGTGAGTAGAGAAATTCACTATCTGTAAATGTGTAAATTAGATACGGAACACCATCGAGAAAATAAATACTAAACGAGATCATAATATTCCGAAAGATTTTCGAATCACGCTNACATTCATTGCTTCTCTTCTCGGAGGGTTTCCATGGGAAGTAGCAGACAAGTACAGGCAGGAATCACCTATGTATCACTTATCTCGAGTTCGAACACCTACACATATCGTCACAGGTGACAAAGATGAACAAGCGAAACCCAGTCAGAGTTTTATGCTTGAACGTGCACTCTATTATCTCGAAATACCTGTTCAATTGTTGATTTTTCCAAATGAAGGTCATGGATTGAGCAAAAATCCTTGGTCAGGAAAAATCAAAGTTCGTGAAGAATTGAAATGGTTACACAAATATACCAATCAGAGTCTATAGCTTCCAATTTTGGATCAACAATTGCTTTATTTTTTTCCTTTATTTTGTATGAATAAAGTATTAACTACAAATCCGTAAAAACAAATCGATGCTTTCATTGTCAGTTGCAGAAATATTAACTGAGGATCGAGATGACTCGATCAGGTAATTTCGCATATACGTGTGTGTCTCGGGTATTTATATTATATCTGTTTTCAAACAAATCAAAGGCACTACTTTTGGTGAGCGAATTTCTGCAATATGAACAACTCGATGTGACTATTTATTGATAGTCAGGCAATTGGATGAAAGTGAAAAACGTGAAGGTAGATTATGCGTATGCAAACGCACTTTCTGTATGCGCGTGCCGTTCTTTGATTCACCTTGCTGTTCTACTGTTGACAACTGTGATAAAGGAAGAAAAAATTTCTCTCATATTTGATATAAAAACGAAGCCACATGTCTTTTCTCCATATTTATCTTAGTAGGCCATTTTGATCGTCGTTGTGAAGCAGAGAAATAATCAAATGGCAAGTGGAACAACTGAAGATAAGTTAAGCGCTTGTTGCTTAACTGAATATCGTCCCTTACCGGGAACTCCACGTGGACAAATAATCAAATTTGCTGGTGTTGATACTTATTTTATTGAAGGAAATGATCAGAAATCAAAAGGAAAAGTTATTGTCCTTCTAACTGATGTATTTGGCTTAGTAAAAAATCCCCGTATTATCGCGGATGAAGTATCGCAAAAGACTGGGATGGATGTCTATGTGCCTGATTTATTCAACGGCGATGCTCTTCCTTCATCCTTTTTAAAAGATGCGCCTGATGTGCCCGGAGAAAAGAAATCGTTCGGTTTAAAAGTAACGTCCATGAAAGAAATCATCTGAAAAGAAAAAATTTAGTTTTAGCTGAATTTTATGGGAAAGTTATTAACAAAAGTGGGACCATGGATGATTCGACATCGTCAAGGCGTCACTCTTCCAATTGTAGAGAGATTTTTCAAAGTATGTTTTTTGGTGCAAATTTTCTCTCGTTCAGTTTATTGAAGTTTGATTTTGAAAGGCACTTCGCGCGGAAAGAAATGCAAGTCGAATCCAATCCGTTGGTTACTGTTTTGGTGGTCTTTACACGTTATTAGCTGGAGGACCACTTCATCTTGCAGATGCCATAGTCGGTTGTCACGTCTCGTTGATGAATAAGACTCATTTTGAACAATTACAAGTACCAGCAGCATTCGCCTGTGCGCAAGAGGACGATTATTTTTCCGATTCTTTTCGAACAGAAGCACAACAAATTCTTGCGCGGAAATCGGATATACCAAGTAAATTTGTGTTATGCGATGGCACAGTACATGGTTTTGCTTCTCGACCAAATCCAGACAATCCCACTATCATGGCAGCATTCAAACAAGCCAATGATTTAATTGCAGAATGGGCGACAACTCATCTATAGCAAACGCAGTTCGGTACTTTTGTTATGGGAAGAAATTGTTCAACTTATTCGTACGCGATATAAACGTTTAAATATAATTGAAAGGGTGGGAAATAAAATCATCACATATCCACATTGTTTAAAATGATCTTTAGTGATGAAATACAACAATAACAAAAATTCACAGCAAATACCATTGAGTTCAACAGAATCACAGAACGCATATCTAAACAAAGTTCCTCCAGTTAATGTATAAATATAAAATGGCATTGCACTTGCTAAATAAGTTAATTAACTAGACGATGAATCATGAAAAATTGCATATAGTCTTTGAATTGCTTGAAGTATTTTCAATGGATTTACATATATCAGATCTGTTACTCCAATATAACCTTTTTGTGTAGCATTTAAATGCTGTATTATGGTCAAATTCGCGTCATAACACTAAAATACCTGTCCGTAAACAATGAGTGACATTAAGATAATAAATATACGGAATTTACAAAACCATTCAATTTTTTAAGTTAGGATCAGCTGCTCAACTCGATTAAATATACATACAAGGAATCTGACAAAACCGTTCTCAACATAATTTCAGTGAAAATGAATGGTTTCAGCTCTGTTAGGATTGTACAGCGTAAAAAACTTCAGTATATTATGAACAAGAAAATGAGTATTTTCTTTGAAATCTTTTGCTTTTTTGGTATGTTGAGAGCAGATCTGTAATGTATGAACGTCTTCTCCTTACTTATATTCATCATGTTTTACACTCTTCTTTGTTAACGAAGTGGATGATATGCGACAGTCTTGTTAATAGATAAGTCCATCATCTATAATGATGCGATGGGGAAAACGTCAGTATTGCGTCTAAAACTTGGAAGACACATGTATTTATTTTCGTCATCGTTATTCATAACGAAATTATTCTCAAAATAGTCGTGTTTTGTGTTTACGTATTTTGCATTCCTTTTTCCTGTGAAGGAAGCAACAAAAAGCACTCATTTACCCTTGTCGGATTCAATGGAATATATAAACATGTACCTTTAAAATATTCACATACGCAAAAATGGACAAGCTTCTAATGATGTTAACTATGGTTTCACTTTTAGGTTTCGGTGATGCTGAGTAAGTTCTAACAAATTGAAAAGAAATTCAAATTATTTTTTTTTCTAGCTCAAGTCAGTCAGTGTCGTGTACAACTAATCCAACGTGGAGTCCAAATGGATTGATCGTAGCTGGTGGTAATAATGATAGTGTGTATCGGGATTTTAGACCGTTCGATTTTGCATTCGACAGTCAACACAATGTGTATGTTGCTGATCCGGATGAGACACAGATATTGATGTATCCCTATAATTATACAATTGGACAAGTGCCTACTGTAGTTGTATCTAATGTTTCATGTCAAGCTTTGTATATCGATAATTATGATAATTTATATTTTGGTGATAGAGGCTCAGTGAAAATCCTCAATCGTACTACTGGAAATGTGACAGTCTTTACTAACTCGTATTACAGCAAAATTTTTCAAGAATATCAACCATTGGTTTCCCCATCAGATCTTTATATTGATTCGAAGTCGCGATTATATGTATCAGATCGCGGAATGCGAGTGATACGATATCTGCTCGATCAGCCAAACAATAGCACAGTTCTTACTGATGCGAGCAGTGGTCCGGGTATTTCGCAATGTATTTTCATCGATGAAACTGATAATAATGCATTTTATACTTGTATTTGGCCTTCAACAATAGTGAAGTTTACCAACGATGGAGCAAATTGGACGACGGTAGCTGATGGAAAAACACTTGCAAGCAATACCAGTGCAAATGTTTCATTAAGTTTTGATTCAGTAATAGTTGATTCTCTTACTCAACAATTGTATATATCAGATGGTATAAATCATCGTATCATTCGATGGTCATTATCGAATAGCTCACAACAAGGACAAGTTATTATTCAACTTCCAAACACAACGAGTCCACGTAGGATCAGACTTGATAAAGACAAAAATCTATATGTTGGAGCCATTGACGATGTGACCCGTGGACAAGTTTTGAAATATATCAATTGCAATCCAAATCAAACCATTATGATGACTACATCAACTACTACTGCAACTACGTACACATCAATGACTACAACTACTTCAATTGCTAATAGTACTTCTAATGTTGCTGCTATGAACTCAGTTGCTTGGAATGTCGCGACATTGTATATATTTGTATCTATCACGATGATCATTCATTTTTTGTATTTTATGGCTTAAGTGTTAGGATGAAGGTGTGATCTCATTGATTTGCTTTTTGAAACGACTCATGTAGATGTGTGGGTTAATCAGCTGTTTATCGTTTGATAACAATCACCAAATACAAAACAAAAATAGGAATCGGATGAGTGAATAAATTGTTAATAACGTTATTTTTATTCTAAAGAATTCAAGATCCTAACTGACGAACAGTAAACATGGCATTCAGTGTCACAGGTATAACTCGAGTCTGTCTTTGACAAAAATAATTCCTAACAATATTTCGAATTTCTCGATCAAGATATACAATAACTAATTTCTCTATATTGACAGCAAATGTAACCGAAACCACGCCAAGTGAATAGAGAAATTCATTATCTGTAAATGTGTAAATCAGATACGGAACACCACCGAGAAAATAAACACTAAACGATATCATAATATTACGAAAGATTTCCGAATCACGTTCTCTTCGTTTCTTATTACGTTTTATAGTTGTTATTTTTCTATAACTAGAAATTCGGATCATTATCAAAATGCTAAAGATAAGAATCAGTAGAATTGGTATGATATAATACGCGATTATGATATAGTAGGAGTGTATTATTTTGTCGGACGGTACCCAACAAAGTTCACCGGCACGAAAATGAACATCATTCGTGAACATTGAAGGCGATGGCAACATTACAATCACAATCCATCCAAATAAAATCAAATAAATATGTGTTTTTAACGAAACTATCCAACGATATCTCGAATATAAATTAATAAAAAAGAATCTCGATATAATCTGTATAACATAAGAATAGATAAATGCAACTAATGACATATATGAAAAATACGCACGCCATTGACATAATTGATCATCTGTGATCCATGTAAATATCAAAAGAAAAGTGTAATTCACACATTGAACAAGACAATAGACCATCGAAGCTAAACAGGTGTTACACGTTAATAGACGATTAACTGTATGCAATGGTTTTGTCAGTATAATGAGAAATAATATGTAGAGAGTGATGAAGATAGCAGTGATTGAAAAAGCCATCGATAAAGGAGCGATGAGACTATAATCTGTTTTTTTAGTTGTTTCTTTTGTCGAAAGATTCATATTGCGACTACAGAAAAATGATTTAAGCAAAGTTTTCCTCATTTGTTTTTATGAGAATATGTCATTTTTAATAAAAATGAAACACGAGTTGATCATGATTATTAACACATACTGAATTCTTTTTTTTTTCTTTTTTTCTTTTTAAACGCATTCGACTACAGATAATTGAAAATGTCAGTACTCAGTTTCATGGACGTTGCTAATTGCACTGAAATATCTACATATCAGCTTATATTTAACGGAGGATTTAAATTCTGCAAAAAAAGACTGCGACGTAAGAATGAAGTTGTTGATGTCTATGAATCTTGAGGATGTGAGCTCGGCAATGAATTCCAAATGGAAAAAAATTCTGGCAGTCCTTCTTATCTAGCGTTTAAGCTTTTCTCCGATTCCACCCATTCGTAATGACTAGCTGCTTGTAAAATCCAATTTTGACTTGGATAATGTCCAATAAAATCATGTGGAAAACCAGTTTTGACATCGTATATACTTTCGACCTCTTTCATTTCTTCTTTGCTCAAGCGAAGTTTTAATGCAGATATACTATCATGTAAATGCTCGATCTTTCGGACAACAATGACAACATATAACGATTGTCTCGATTTGTTCTTGTGTTTTGAGTTTTCCTTCACCTTTCATCTAGTAACATTGGTAAAATTTCTCGTTCTGCATCTCGCTCTGCAGCATTGTAAAGACCTTGATAGTCTGAGAATTGACGAAGTCCATGATCTCTTGCATATTGGCTGGCTTTCGTAACAACCCATGGAGATGAGTCACTTACTCCTAAATAGAATACTTTACCTGCCTTAACCAAATGGTTTAACGATTGCATCAATTCAGAAATCGAACACGTATAATCTCACCTATAAGAAGAACACTAGATGATGAAAAACGGCTATATGAATATACAGAAGGTCGATATATTCGCTGTGTGCCCATATGTTTCCATGCATCGCCGATAGATATGGCGCCCAAATCATTCACAGGTGGCAGTGTGCTGGTTGCATTTGTTCAAACACAAAATTGCATCTTGAACTACAATGCCCGTCAGAAAGAACTGACTCTGCCCTTTGGTTGATTTCAATTAGATATGAAGTATTTATCTACCTATTATTGACAGAAAAACAATAAGATGAACACGTGGAATGCTGATATACTCGCTGGTGAATGTTCTTTTACCACAAATTGTTTCTCTCTCGAATGCGTATATATAACGGCTGTTTGCCAACCTTATTTATTTTGGGCATGTTGTAGTTTCATTAGTACTTTATAAACCAACAAGCAAATATAACCAATCCAGTTTCAGTCAGCTCCCCGATTTTAACTTCGAAGTTTCTAAGCTAAGCAAAGAATGTTCAACAGTTTTAAACGTGTGATATTGGTGAGTCTTGTTGATGTATTCTTTGCATAAGTCCTAGCTTGATTTACATATCTCACAGTGGTAATGGGTTCCGTTGAAATCTTTCTTTGAGCAATCATCGCAGGTGACGCTGAGACGTTGAAAATCGTGTGTTTGTTTTAATAGTTGAGTTTTAGACAATGACCGCAGTAAGCTAAATGAAGTGTCAGATAATCTAATTACATTCTTGAAAATTGACGTTGTTGATGCCCGAAATTGAAGATGAGTGAATCTAGTGTCGAATGATATTTACCTGCAGATTTCCTTTTGCTACGACATGTCATCCAAGTTTTTATTGATTTCAATTGTGCTCTAATTTTTACACCGATGACACTTGAGAGTGTGGGTGTTATATTCACATTCATAACGCATTTCCGTTAGTTATTAGCTGAGAGAAGAAAAAAGAGATTTATATTTCTTCAAGATTAATCGAATAGTAAACAAAAGAAAATATAAAAGTTATCTAGTGTGCATCGCCTTTTAATCGATCAAGTAGAAGACCTAAACGTTTGTCATTGTCATATTCTTCCATTTCTTCGAAATGTGCTCGTGCATTATCAAATAAAATTTCAATTGATGGTCGATCAGTCGCATCTAATTCAATCGGCTCTTCAAACCACAATTGCCATCGTTGATATTTTTCCTGGCTTAAAACCGATAACATATGCACATCCATATTATATTGTGGCCCATCCAACACAATATTTACAATTTCTTTAGAATGCTTCGCATAAAATAATAGATGTCGACTAGCATTGGGATTCAACGGATTCGGTACATAATCACCAGTACCAAGCGATAAAATGAAGATATTTTCTTTAGATTTTCCATATCGTATAGCTTCATCGTACGCAGCCATGACGGGATTATTCATTTGCACTCCACCATCAACATAGAAACAATCATCCATTTTATGCGGTGGAAAATAAGTTGGTGCTGCTGATGTACACATGAGAATACGCTGTAACTCATAATCTCGTGCATGATTATAACGACAATCATAACGGTTAAATAAATGCGTCAGTTTCGTATCGTTTTTTACTGCTGGTATAACCAATTCAGTTAAGACTTGTGACAAACGTGTATGATCAAAATACCGTCCAAATAATTTCTGACGAGCGTCATCAACATATTTTGCTTCTTGTGAAATATGACGTCGCACATTATAAAATTTTCCCGATTGTTTCTGAAAAACTTCATTGGAATTATCTACGTAAAGTTTAACAATATCAGCAGCTTTATAACGAGGTGTGTTCACATTGACACAATTTGGAGTAGATAAACCAGCTGCAATGATCGCCCCTGTTGATGTTCCAGCCATCATATGGAACATCGATGCTGATGAACGCTTTGTACGACGTTCAATTTCTGCTAGCCAAACAGCTGGCAACAAACCTCGAATTCCACCTCCATCAATCGATAAAATATTAAAATCTGAACCATGTTCACCATGATGAACAGGAGTTGTCATACGATCGTAAACGTTTAGACGTTCATTAATTTTCTCTGATTGTAAATGCTGAATGATTTTTAATTCGCTGGCCGCGTCTTTACAATCCGGTAACTTCCTCAATGATTGTTGAATCGCATATTTCGCATCATCATAACTTCGTAATTTTCGGTATGCTAAACCTAATAAAAACCAAGCTTCATTCGAATCATCATGTGATTTGAGTGTTTCACGCAGAAACTCTGCTGCTTTCTTCCATTTACTAAGCATAATAAGACAACGTGCGTAACCAAGCGTTGCAAGTGAATCAGTTGTATCCAATTGAATGATATTCGAATAGTTCTCTTTTGCATTGTTCCACATTGGCAAAGCCTTTAGCCGATGAACACCCTCATAATGTTCCGCTTTCAAACGATAATGTAGAGCAATTTGATGGTATAGACGGATTTTGGATGGCATATCTCGAGATAAACGTAATTGATCAAGAAGATAATTCAATTTTAATTCGCAAATTTTAAATAAACATATGATTTTTTGTTTGTCGTCCAACACGACAAAAATACTCGAATCAAATGAAAGAATTGGCTGATTAGTGTTGACATTTCTTTGCTCAACAAATACTCTTCCGTATATTGAATTGATTTCAATTGAACAAATACGAATTTCTGTGTTAAATAAGTATGACAATATCGGAAGATGTTTATCACATAGAACCCATTCTTGTCGATCAGGATACTTCCCAAACCAATCGATAATATCTTGATTGGGAATGTCATCGCTAATCATCATATGTCCAATACTCGTTCTTAATGTTTCATCACCATTTTTTGTATACAAATCGAGAACTTGGTCAGTAAATTCTCTTTGACTTAAAATGATTTTCATATCACATAATTCTCCAAATGCTTCTAATACTTGTGATGCGTTTGACACACTTTTCACATTTTCGCAACTGATCGCGACATTTCCATCCATCATCATATGAATATTTTCATACAGAAATTNACAGTCGTACACGGTACAGCTTCACTTTCTATCTTGACACTCTGTTTCTCATCTTATCGTGTAATAACGAGTATCTGAATATGAACGAGCCATATTAGTATCGAATCCAGATATCGAAAGTCATTCAATTCTAGATTAAATTTTTAATAGAAAAATATCTTTAGATGACATTCAAACATAGGTATCAATTCGCATGTAAGTGTGATTGTGAGCAATAGATTTCATTTTCCTGAAAAGCGTGGCACACTTGAATTCATTCGTTTATTGTTTTTGAATTATTACTTCATTTATTTTAATATAACACAAGTATTTTCTAATATTTCCAAAGAAATAGATGACGATTTAGCGCCCGAACTGAACGCTAACGATGTCATTGAATGATTCGATTCAGAAAAGTGGATTCTTGGTAGTATATCTATTAGATTCGTCTTGCTCTTGTGACGAACAAGTGGTGTCATTGAAGGAAAATATCCGGTACATAATTGATTACGATAAAACATTCCACAGCGTTGAACTATATGAAGAGTTCATACGTTCTGTCCGATATGAACGAATCTTTCTAATTGTTACTCCTGTACTATTAACACGTGTTTTCCAAGAAAATATCCATGAAATTCGCCATGTGCAAGAAAGTTTTGTTTTCGATCCGCTCGGAACGATGACGTGCATCAATATTATCAAGTGCTTATCTTATAAAGTGACTCTATATACTCCTCGTACCAACTCTTTGACTAAATGTTATCTTTTGGTTGTTAAGATTCAAGATGCTTTCAAATCACCTGATGTCTTAGTAACGATGTCTATGGGCGAGTGTTAAAGAATGCACGAATAGATCAGACGTTCGTCTATCCTCATTAGCAAACTGTTCGATTGATGCGATAACGAATGTAATTAGGGTCAATCCATGAGGACCCATCCACTTTTCTGGAAAGGTTTTTTTTAGATTTTTTTTCGGCTCAAACATCCGATCTCTGTTAGAAAACACTTTCGGTAAAAAAATTGGGTCCTATCTGCGGAAAAACTCGCGTTTTTTAGCGTTTTTTTATACATAGAAAATGACTTACCATATATGAAATTCAATAAGATCAGTCTGATTCCTACCAGAAGACATGTTTCTAGACTTGTTTGATATTTATGAGTACTAGACAATTCCGAAAGAAGAGCTTTTGATGAAGTTTCAGACGTTTTTCTGTCATTTTTTCTATGTATAAAAAAAAGCTGTATGTGCACCTAAAAAACGCTAAAAAGCTCCAGGTTTTCCGCAGGTAGGACCTAATTGTTTTTCATCAAAAGTGTTTTCTAACAGAGATCGGATGTTTGAGCCGAAAAAAATCGAAAAAAACCTTTCCAAAAAGTGGATGGGTCCTCATGGATTGACCCATTTGCATTTGACTTTGTTGCCTCTTAAGTTGATTGAGTGTTTCCATATTGGTCTCGTAGGTTTGCTGAAATTGCTTTGTCTCCTGAAGAATCATCTCAGCATCTTTCCTCGTCCAGCCAGTTAACGGATCGCGTGCATCAGAAGTCGCTTTTAAGACTGCTATAAATCTCCGTGCGAGTAAACTTTTATTAACAGCGAGTCTTGTTGATGCAATCTTTGCATAAGCCGAAGCTCGGCTCACATGTCTCGCAGTGGTATCGAATTCCATTGAAATCTTTTTTTGAGCAATTTTATCGCAGGTAATGTCGAGATGCTGAAAATCGTGTGCTTTTTCTAATAGCTCAGTTTTTTACCAATTTTTTTAAAAGATGTGCGTGGAAGGAGAATGCGTCGGCATAAATGCGATACATTTATTACAAACACCAAACCCACCTGCTGCATTTGGACATTGCTCGCACATCAGAACTTCCTCTTTCCCTACGGGAATTAGTTTTAGACAATGATCGCAATAAACTAAATGAAGTGTCAGGTAATCCGAATTCGTTAAAATTGACGCTGTTGGCGCCTAAAGTTGAGAGAGAGAGCGTGAATCAGAGTGCTAAAATGAATGTGATACGATGTTTTTAAAGTTCCGATACCAAATTCACACACTGTTTCTACATTTATTATGTAAAGCTGGTTTCGAATTATAGTTACCTGCAGATTTTCGTTGGATATCTTCGATGGGTTTTCTTTTGCTACGGCATCCATCTAGAGAAATTTAAGGGTGATGGTGTGGGGGTGAAGATGATTATTATTAACTAGGCATGTACCGAACCCGAACTGCGTAGTTCGGGTTCGGTACCCGCTCTTCGACGTAGGTTGGTAGTGAATATGCAGAAAGTTTCATAAGTATTTTCTAAATCATATTAGACGAAATAAAGAAGCTGTCAAAATTATAGGGTTCGGGTTCGGCATTTTTTTAACTGCTGATTTGTTCTTATCTAACGATTACAAGCAAGTTGTATTATACACCGAACTCGAACCCGAACCCGAACGTTCGGATTCGGTGCATGCCTACTATTAACAACACTCATCCATCGATGGATACTATTTTAGGATGTTCGATGTATATTTTCTCAATAAGGAGACTGTGTCTCTATGGACTATAACCTTTCAAACAAATAGGATGTGATTGTAAGTGTTACATCACGCACTCATAGCTGACTTTGGTTAGTATTTCAACGTAAAGTTGTTCCACTGCATATTATCATAAAGTTATTAACTAATTAAGAATCGAAAAAACGACATTTGTATTTATGCAAAATAAATCGAATAATAATCAAAAGAAAACATTGATAATCACTTTTAAAGAGTAGCAAACATTGAAATTATTTAATGTGCATCGCCTTTTAATCGATCTAGTAGAAGACCTAAACGTTTATCATTGTCATATTCTTCCATTTCTTCAAAATATGCTCGTGCACTATCAAATAATACTTCAATAGATAATTCGTCTTTTGCATCTAATTCAATCGGTTCTTCAAACCACAACTGCCATCGTTGGTATTTTTCTTTGTTTAAAACCGATAACATATGCACATCCATATTATATTGTGGTCCATCGAACACAATATTTAAAATTTGTTGAGAATGCATCGCATAAAATAATAAATGTCGACTAGCATTGGGATGCAATGGATTTGGTACATAATCACCGGTACCAAGTGACAGAATAAAAATTTTGTCTTTCGATTTACCATATCGTATAGCTTCGTCATATGCACCCATAGCTGGATTATTCATTTGAACACCACCATCAATATAAGAACAATTATCCATTTTATACGATGGGAAATAAGTTGGTGCTGCTGATGTACACATGAGAATATCCTGTAATTCATAATCTTGTGCGTGATTATAACGACAATCATAACGGTTAAATAAATGCGTTAGTTTCGTATCATTTTTCACTGCTGGTATAACCAGTTCAGTTAAGACTTGTGATAAAAGTGTATGATCAAAATACCGTCCAAATAATTTCTGACGACCATCGTCAACATATTTTGCTTCTTGGGAGAAATAACGTCGCACGTGATACAATCTTCCCGATTGCTTCTGAAAAACTTCATTTGAATGATCTACATAAAGTTTAACAATATCAGCAGCTTTATAACGAGGTGTGCAAACATTATCACGATTCGGAGTAGATAGACCAGCTGCAATGATCGCCCCTGTTGATGTTCCAGCCATCATATGGAACATCGATGCTGATGAACGATTTGTACGACGTTCAATTTCAGCCAGCCAAATAGCGGGCAGCAACCCTCGAATTCCACCTCCATCAATCGATAAAATATTAAAATCTGAACAATTTTCATCACGATGAACACGGGTTGTCATACGATCATAAACATTAAGACGATCATGAATTTTCTCTGATTGTAAACTTTGAATGATTCGTAATTCACTAGCCGCGTCTTTATAATCTGGTAACTTCCTCAGTGATTGTTGAATCGCGTATTTGGCTTCATCATAAATTCGTAATTTTCGATATGCCAAACCTAATAAAAACCAAGCTTCATTCGAATCTTCATGTAATTTGAGTGTTTCACGTAGAAATTCCATTGCTTTCTTCCATTTACTGAGCATAATAAGACAACGTCCGTAGCCAAGTGACGCGAATAAATCATTGGGATCCAATTGAATTATATTCAAATAATTGTCTTTAGCATTGTTCCACATTGGTAAAGCTTTTAACCGATGAATATGTTCATAATGTTCCGCTTTCAAACGATAATGAAGAGCAATTTGATGATATATACGGATTTCGGATGGCATATCTCGAGATAAACGTAATTGATCAAAAAGATAATTCAATTTTAATTCGCAAATTTTAAATAAACATATGATTTTTTGTTTGTCGTCCAACACGACAAAAATACTCGAATGAAATGAAAGAATTGGCTGATTAGTGTTGACATTTCTTTGTTCAACAAATACTCTTCCATATATTGAATTGATCTCAATTGAACAAATACGAATTTCTGTGTTAAATAAGTATGACAATATCGGAAGATGTTTATCACATAGAACCCATTCTTGTCGATCAGGATACTTCTCAAACCAATCGATAATATCTTGATTGGGAATGTCATCGCTAATCATCATATGTTCAATACTCGTTCTTAATGCTTCATCACCACTTTTTGTATACAAATCGAGAACTTTGTCAGTAAATTCTCTTTGACTTAAAATGATTTTCATATCACATAATTCTCCAAATGCTTCTAATACTTGTGATGCGTTTGACACACTTTTCACATTTTCGCAATTGATCGCGACATTTCCATCCATCATCATATGAATATTTTCATACAGAAATTTATTTTCCAATGCTAAAAGATTCTGATCAACCAATGGTTTTGGTGTTAAACCAAATGCCATTATCAAATCATCGATAGCTTGCATTGTCAATTGTGATACTTGGAAAAATTGATTATTTTCTGTCACAATCTTCTTTCGTTTGATTTCTAAAATCGTTTCTTGACTCTCATCTAGATTATCAACTCCACCGATAATGATTTGTACAATCGCGTAATTCAAACGCGCGATATCGGCTAATTCATCCAGGCGAGTTATAAATGGAGTTTTTAAAGCATCGTTGAAATATTCTTCTGGAATGGAATAAACATAAGAAGAATATTTGGATGAGACCACCGAACGCCAGAAATATTGAAATTTATTTAAAGTTAAATTGCCTAAATGCTTTTGCTGTACTTCAGCATCTAACTGTTTGGCTTTGTCTTGTAATTGTGAACTTTTCTGAAAAACATCTCGAAATAAATTCGATGCTAATTCGTTAAATGTTGATTGTGTTGGTTGACGTAGACTCGCGTTTTCATTTTTCGATTCTGGTGCGAGTAATTTTGGTTTATTGAGTAATGCTTCACCAATTAAAATTAATAGATAAGCAATTCCATCCGGACGAAATTCATGTTTTAATAATTCTTTGATAATATGTTGAGGATCAATTTTAATTTCTACTGCATCTCCATGGACTTCGATTCTTAACAAATATAAATTCTCCCAGTATGGTGAAGCTAACAGACGCAGAAATTCGCTATACATTTGTTGTGTACAATACTCCATGGCTTTTGGTAATCGTTCATTAAGTATATTACGTATTGCTGGTTCTTCTGAAAGATTTCGAGCAATATCAAACGATTTTTTCGTTAATAGAGCGCCGCCAGCGACGATAATTAGTCCTCCAGTAATTCCAAGAAGCACTCCAACTGGTCCAACCGTTGAGCCTAACAAAATTCCTGCTGATATGGTTTGATAGAATTGAGCACCCGTAGCCATACCGGCAAGAGTGGTTGCTCCGCACATTGCAACTGTTAGAGCTTCGTATTGCATGACTTTGGTTTTGGCAGCTAAGATTAATTCCTGTGATGTTTCAATTTGTTTTTCTTCGCCTCGGAGTAAACATTGTTGAAGTACAACAGATCTTAGTTCGTTTCTGACTTGCGCTCGCAACGCAACTGATGACAATTGCTGATTGGTGAGTGAAACAGCTTGAGTTGAAGATGGTAATTTTGTATTTGATGTTGTCGTAGGCTGCCGATGAATATTCTGAATTCTTGCTAATAGTTTTTGTAAATCAACTATTTTCGATGTAATTTCCGGACTACCAGTTCCATTTAATAAAATGTGCATAGCAGCAATTGTATACATTTGTGCTTGTAAATACTCTTCACTCGTATAGAGTGTAATAGCCATCATGCGTCTTAATTCACTCCGATCTTCCGCCGAACCTTTCATCGCAAGTGCTAACGCAGCTGCACGATACTGTTCATATGCTAATAAAGAGTATGTTTTTTGAAGTTTTCTTAGTTCTGCTTCTGTTCGATTTTTCAATTGATCTTCTTTCAAATGAACACAGTCTTTCCAATTGTTATTTCTTGCTCGACTATAATCGCGAGCAATTTCCCATAACTTTTGTCCCTCAGCAGTGTATCTTCGAATCAGTTCTTTGTCACAGATTGTCCCATTTTGTGTTAATTCATTTAATAAATCGTCTTTACAACTGATGATGCAGTGGAAGATTTCCCGAAAATCATTTTTCTCAGTTTCATTTGTTGTTTTATCGGGATGAAAGATTTTCAATAATTTTCTCGCGTGAGAACGAATTCGTTCTTGTGTTAACGGAATATTCGAAAATAAAATCTCGCGTAAACTTCCTTTATGCATTAAGAGGAATCGAAAAAAGCTTCTTCGATATGCATTTAAACAATTATCAATTGATTTTTGAAGGCTTACAAGAAGAAATAAAACTTCTGTTACCGGATCCTCAGAATTGATTTCATCACTCGTTAATGATTGTTCTGTATTGTCATTTGTTTTGTTATTGAGAATAATTTCGTCTTGAAATAATTTTGTCACGCGAATCATTCGTAATTGTAATCGTTCTAAGGAATCGAATTGCTCAAATAAATGAATTTCATTATGACTGAGATACTCATTAAGCAAAGTTTTTAATTCATTCACTGTTGGTCGAAGAGTTGGATCGGAAAGTAATCTATGTTCTTGGAAATCCTTGAAACACACTTGAACAACTGTTTTAGCGTCCGAAAGTATGGGCAATGTCAATTCATCCTCGTTTTCTTGTTTTGATGAAGGTATAGAAGTATTTGTTGGATTTGGCTTCACTAATTTTGATCCATAGCGAACAGCTAAAGTTTCTTCCTGTTTGGCTTCTTCAATTTTCCCGAAGAATTTTAAGCACGACGATCTTTTGGTGTGATATTGATGCTTTGCTTCGATATACGATGACTCGTCTTCAACCTCCAGTTTTTTTAACAACAACGAAACCTCATCAAATAATGAATTAATTTTCTCGAAAGAATTATCCTCAGCAATTGAATCGTCGATTCTTTTCAAGAAATCGTTCACTTTTTCAGCTGTCATTTCGTCTGTTGATGAAATAGCGTCACTTTATCTAAACGATTTCGAATCACTGAAGCTTACTTTGTCACACCGATGTTAAACAGTACAACACACACGTTGTCTGCAGTCAGAAACAAGTTAAAAAAAATATGTTGCCACTATAATAGCATTATACCTGTGAGATTTTTACAACATACGACGCATTGTATTTTTTCTTCTCTATGGCGTGTCCTTATATGAAGATATTTACTCATCAGAATTTTTCGTTCTTTGTTTTTTTAAGGATGGAATTCGTTTTCAGCATTATCGATGTATATGTGTTTGCAGTCTTCCTCTGCTCTGTTTCGTTGTCGATTATAATTTCATAATACATGTCATATGATGCTTTATAACGTTTTCCGCGAAATTATATTTCAACATCAACCCAAGTTCCGCGAAACTCAATATATTTCGGATGTCAACTCAATCTACGGAAATTCAAAGAAGTGTTTCGCACTACAGAAGTGTAACCTTGCGATCCTGAGTAGTGTAGAAATCGTTTATTCGATTCGAGTTTTAAAACTTTCGTTCGAATTCTAAATCTTGCGGTTTAGAATTCGAGTACTCGCGTTTTAAACTTCTGAACTTCTAAGTCTAGAATTCCAAGTTTCGAGTTTTCCGCTTATCGCCTACTAACGATAACGGATGCCGTTTACATTGGCCCGACTATGCCGTTGTAGGCTCCACCCTCACCCACACCCACACCCACCCGTAGTATCTTTACCGTGTATTGTCGCGAATTGCAATTTCTTTATTCCCTCTTTGTGTCAAAAATGAATTTCCCGGAAAACGCTATAACGAATCAAATCACTTGAAAATTAAAAAATCAACACAACTATTAGATTAGTTTAAATGAATGTTTTTAAAATCTCGTGTTTTGTTACATCATTTACAACGACAAATATCAAAACCACGAGATGCAGCAGTCTCACCAACATGATAGTGATAAAAGTAACTACACGTTACACTAGGCCCATCGGGACGACGATGCCACCGGTCCTCGTTATATATATCATGACATTCATCTCGGCAGTGACGCTCATAGTCACGATCAATATCACCATCGTAATACCAATCGCAACATTTGCCGCAGCAGGAACAAGCGTTACCATGACACAGCGGGCGTTCAAATTTTTCAAGCGTATTTAATGCAGTGTTAGTCGGAACGGTCGATGAAAGGACCTCTAAATAAAAATATTTGTACTGCTATGGGTCATTTTGAACGCATATATCTTAAACGTACACTCGATAAGAACTTTCACATACCTATGCAGGTTTGACATTATTGTACTAAACGATTTCAAGTTGAATAATATCCAAATATTTTCTTAGTTACTATAGAATTATTTTCTCGTTCAGAAAACGTTGCCCAAGATAATCCCAAAGTAGTGACCGGTTATCCTTATTCTCTCGAGTAGAAGTAAAAGACTATGCCTTTTCGCACCGCGGCACAGTGCATTTCGATCTATTTCCCGATGCTATTTGATCACTCCTCGCATTTTTATAAAATGACTCGAGACAAACAAGCCTTATTTTACATCATTTTTACATAGGGGTGTCAGCATTCCCCGTTTCTAAGCGTTCCATTCTCAGGAAAGGAGTGGAACGGATTTCAAAGTACATTTTATAACGTTTTTTTAAAGAATAGTCTAACTGTTGACATATAGTTATGTACAATATTAAGTGAAACCTGCTCTCCGTGGCCCATTCCTGCGCGAGAGCAGTGCCTGCGTTCTCATTCTTCAGAACACAGCGCCAAAGTGATACTCCTACTTTCTACGTCGCCAAAATCGCACATTCTCATTAGTAATAAGGTGTTAGAATTCGAGTTTTGACGTTGGAAAAAGGGTTCTTCTCTAGAGGTATTATAAGACATTTTGACAAGTTATTACAAATGAAAATGTCCACTTTTCCAGATATTATTTTCGTTAAAGCTCTACGCGGATATTAGCGATAATAATTAGTACATGGTTATCGCTGACTTTTTCTTTTTCGTCCTTTTCTTTTCTATGTTTCGCTCGCTATATTTTCTCTTGTTCGTGCCGCCTGTCTGGGCAGTAATCTGGCACGATTTCTTTTAACTGATGTGCACACTACCGCAGATTAGCGATGACCCTACTTTTTTTTATTAAAGCAAAGTAAATAAGCTATTTGTGACTTGCTTCTATGAAGTAAATCATTTCTAATATGACATGAAAAAACGAACATAGCGAATCGATGCTAAATCTAGCTACTTCATTAAAACAATATTTTTTACTTCTACAGAGTAAACAGAATATGATTTATTTTTATGCGAAGAAACTATGCAAATGAGCTGCTTCGACTTCAGATTAGGTTTGACTTACAGTAAATAAAAGTAAACATTTGGACTTTGTTAATCAGGGAGCTGGTTAGCACTTACCCTTTTCTTTTTCCGCAGTAACCATAGTTTTGGTTGCATTTGGACCTGAGCTTGCCATTGCTGCACACTATATATGGAAGGATAAGTACTCTAGAAGAAATGAAGGATTATAATATAGTAGCGGTCAGTGGTGTAACCAGGGAGTGCCAAATGGGCAATTACCCAATAAAAATCTTTGGTATGCGTCCATACTTCAAAACTTATATAATTTCATTTTTACGCTGACTTCTTAAAATATGCTCAAAAGATAAAAAAATAACAAATGACGATCTTTTTTTATCATCGAAGAACTGGTCAAAATCATGACAATTCCAATGAGTTATAGATAGAATATGGAACGATAGACATAATTACCACTGCAAATGTGGACGATAACGTCATTCTGTACCATTTGACTTGATATTTATTTATTTTGCTAAGTCATAATTCGAAGTATACTCTCCCCATTCTCTCAACTTTATTGTGACCACCTGTTAGAGGTAGTAGTGTCAAACTCGAAAGCTGAATTCAACTTTTGAGTTTGACACTGGTAAAGAATATATGGAAAGATAACTTTTGCTTGCTTTCTTCTGGTAGTCAGCTGTAAAGGGTTAAACGACGTAAAACTGGAGGTGGTAAAAAAGTTCCAGCTTTTAGTTGTGGCCCAATTGATTTTCAATTGCCCAATACGGCCCATGCCGCGAAACACTTTTGCACGGAAATGGCTCAGTACTCAAAAATCTTAGCTAAACCACTGGTATGACTTGTAATTAAGTTAAAAATTTCAATAGTTTAACTAACAAACGCAGCACAGTACAGCTAAGAAAACTAATTATGCAACATTCATCTATCACAGATTTTCCACACAATGGCCTATTTGAATTCTTTCTGAATTAAAACAAAAAAAGATTTTATTTGTAACTGAATTCATAGGCCTTTGAATCATTATAGCTATTCATTTATATATATGGGCAAAATCATTTTGTTAGGTACGTGATTCGTAAAACTAGAACGTGTATGCCTCGGGTTAATGAAGTTTCATATAGTAGATTTTTCTATATTTGATGCGTGTTAAGTGAGTCTAGATTTCGAAAAAAACCAGCCAGAAAGACGCTTATGTATAGGAGTTTTAATCTAGGACAACAAATCCGATCGGATTCCTGTAACCGGAATTGCATTGGAATCCGACTAGAAAAATTCAGTCGGTTATAACAAATTTTATGAACGATCTTTCTAGCTATATTCTATGATGATCCTTAGAAAATCCGAAAAATTCATGTTTCGGATCCGAGACCATCGGAATCCAATGCGATCATGCCGTCACCAGGATTTCATCAGATCCGTCGAATTCCTGTAGGATCCGATAGAAGACATAGCGAGTGAATAGAGAAATACCAAATCCGTCTTTAACAAGCCATGAGTTACTTGTCAAATAAGTCTCATGTTCGAACTCTAGCGAGATTTTTATGTATTGACACATCATCGAAGATTTCCTCTCACGTCAGTCACATTAGCATATTTAGGGCTAACATATAACTAAAAGGATGGAAGACATTGGCAAGTTCTGGTAAGGTGCTCATGTTTTCAGTATGCTGCACTAATAAGATGTTTCAAAGCTGCCCTCAGTGACATGTTGTTGGTACTCGAACTATGGTGGAATAAAGCACATACCTAATTAATATAGAGCCTATTTTTCAAAGATGTTCTACACTTCGCAGCACCCAGCATACCTGGAATGGTTTCCTTAGCGTCAACGAATATAATGATAATCTGGGTGACTTCTACCCACACCCTATTAACTGGCATCCATCTTCGTGGTTTCCAGTAATTGTGATAGCTCACTAAATCTAAATCTATCTTGAAAAGCTTGATGACAGTAGCTATAGCAGAGAGTTGTACCTAACAAACAGGTAATCTAGATGAAATACACCTATATCCCGCCACGAACCTTTATCGTGTAGTTCTTCACCGCATATTGACGTTTTCTTGAGTCAAAGTTACCGTACATGTAGTTGAATAGTTTGTGGTGTTCTGTGTCATAAAACCAGCTGGAGGGCTTTCATCTGAGTCGTCCATACTGGTCCGCCAATGCGTTTGCCTATACCTACAAAAGCTCGATGCAAACCTGCGCGCCATCTCCATCACAGAAATACTTGGGTGACATGTCACCCCAATAACACTCAAGTCATCCATGTCTACCCTTTTACTAGTTAATCTACACTCTCTCCATGTCTTTTAAGATCTAACGAATTAGCATGGAGCGTTTAGCGGTCACATCTAATGTAGGAAGCGAATGTGTCGTGAACAAGCGCATTTTCTTGCACCTTTGTATATGAGGATCAGACAAAATTCCATCAAAAGTCAGCATTAGTGCAACCAATCTGGTTCATCATCGAACTCGACTAAGATATTGATGAGATGATGCTGCGTAGAAAATTTCAGCTCGATCTGATTCTTCTATCGCAAGCTATTGGATAAACGGACGGACGGACGCACTGACCAACTTTAGTGATGTACTCACTTTCTGAGTACACAAAAACTTGCTCTGGGAACCTTCATTAGCCCGAGACATACGTGTTTTGGCCATATGTATAAATGAATAGCTATAATGATTCAAAAGCCTGTGAATTCAGTTACAAATAAAATCTTTTCTTTGTTTTAATTCAGAAAGAATTCAAATAAGCCATTGTGTGGAAAATCTGTGATAGATGAATGTTGCATAATTAGTTTTCTTAGCTATATTGTGCTGCGTTTGTTAGTTAAACTATTGAAATTTTAACGTAATTACAAGTCACATATTATATGAGTGATATACGAACTTGTGATAAATTGTCTTGTGCCAAGATTCTAGCACGGCAAGTTGTTTGTCGATGTAGGGCTTTGATGCTCAATGATGCTTTTTAGCTGAATGTCGTAATATCTCTGTGTTTATGTTCGATTAAAGAAAAAGAAAAGCGATTGCCACAATGTGATATTTTTTATATTCAGTATGTGATGACGTTGTATTAAGTAAAGAGAGAAAAAAATCTTCGAGTGAGGCCGTTTGAAGTAAATGCAAACGATAAGACATAGGGTTTTTTTATTACTTTCAACGTGCACATCAGGTAGAAGTGAAGAAGCCGTAATGTTGCGTTGTTATTTGTCGTTTCAAGGGTGGTACAGATGTAACTACAATGCATCGCACGATATATCAACGAGCAGTTTTTTTCATCGCTTTTGGAGTAGAAAGAAAGAGGAATGATACGGAGGCTGTCGTTTTTCTCGTCTTTGCTGTTCTGACGAAATAATAAGTAAAGTAGAAGAAAATGTTAAAGTGACGTCGCTGAAATAGTAGAAATGTAAAAGAATAAAGGTATTTATTTTGCATCGTTTTAACGTGTCTATCGAGCAGAAGCAGAGAAACATTTATATGGCGTGCAGTTACGAAGAGTCCGTAGAATCGTGTAATGTGAACCTAGTGAATGATGAGAAATTGGAGGAAACTTATCGACCAAATGATGATGCAATCCAAATAGTGGATAATGGGAGAGCGTGTGAGAAAATCAGACTTAGCGCGTATGGATGTGCTCTTGGAAAACACTCGTATCATTCTGGCATCCATTGCATTCGACTTAGAGTATGTGGTCATGGGGTAGTTTTTGGCATTCGCTCACGAAATATTTTACCTGTGCCAGATGACTACGCTTGGGGTCGCTATGACAGTGGTCCTTCGACGTACGGTTGGACGAGAGATGATGGTCGCATAAGTAATGGTAAATTTGCGAAGCGCAATCTTGAAACAATGAACAGAGATGAACATGTTTTTGCGCTGACTCTGAATTGTGATAAGCACCGATTGAGTGTACTGGATGAAAATACTAAAGAAAAAGACGAATTAAAGATAGATATTCTCCATGCTCCTTTGCCTTGGTGTCTCTTCATTCAACTTTCTCGCTTTCGATCACGTGTGTCCCTTGTATAAATCCTCGATTGGGAAGTTTCGGATCAACATTATCGTCAATGATTTATTTATGATATATTCACATAATGACATTAATAACGCTCGCTAATGTAATTTGAATAACCTTCGACTAACATTGATTTTTTTTAATCTTTCTTTAAACACTTCTAGATATACCAAACTACTTGCGGTTGGCAAATCTGACTGGACGCTCAAAGCTATTTTTTACTATGTAGCTTCTATTGATAGGCCGAACTTGTACTTTTTTATCAGTTATATTATAAACAACGAGTTATTAGTCTGCTTTAGTTTTGGTTGTATTTTTTTCAATGGCGGTAATCATGTACCTGAATTTATCTTACTGTTTATTCAAAAAGTGAGTACACTGTAAAAGAGGCGCAGAATAATAAACCCTCGGAAACCACTTTTCTTTCCTACTGTTCTTCCAAAGGGTACGTAGACAAAGCTTGTAAGGTATATCAATGCTCATCTATCCTAAAGGGTTTATGAGAGGGTACCTTGTGTTCATAAACCTAAAAAGAGCATATGCCATCTCTATCAATCCTTTTCGAGGGTTCATAAGTCGACACTTTTTTTAACAGTGTATACCACAAAAGTTGGTCAGTGCGTCCGTCCGTCCGTTTATCCAATAGCTTGCGATAGAAGAATCAGATCGAGCTGAAATTTTCTACGCAGCATCATCTCATCAATATCTTCGTCGAGTTCGATGATGAGCCAGATTGGTTGCACTAATGCTGACTTTTGATGGAATTTTGTCTGATCCTCATATACAAAAGTGCAAGATAATGCGCTTGTTCACGATGCTTTCGCTTCCTACATTGGTTGTAGTGGCGTAACCAGAAATTCGTGGGTGGTTAGGCGGCGCCCCACTGACTTTGAAAATATTATATATAAATATTGTAATGCAGCATGTATCTTTGTCACATTGCGAAGATATGATAGCCTATTTATCTTTAAGAGTACACTTTATTCCCTTTTGTGAAAGAAAGGGTTATAGCGTTCTAAAATCGGTGGCTCAAAACCTAAAAGTTTGTGAGTTTTCGAATCCAATCAGGTTGCAGCTTTTTATAAACCAATAAAACCTTAGAGATAACCATACGGAAATGATTCACCTGAGGTAATCCAGATCGAGGATCACGAATCCGATATTAGTTTTTCCGTAAAAACTATCTGTCCTGTTTTTTTGCGACAACGGTTCACTTTTTTGCAAAAAGATATTTTTNTTAACTAGCCACGACTTATTAACATCCATTGTCAGAGTAGACCGAAGGATTCTGACGTCTGGACACTCGAATTTGAGGATGAATTTCGTTTTATTCGGTGAGCCTGCGCTTGTTCTTTTCTCTTTACAAAGGAGATGTCTTTCTTTATCTATTCTAAAATCTTTTGTAGAAGATGGTGAGCTGAACGCTATTCACGGACGCCATGTGTACAAAGATAGTAGCTCAAGAACTTACACGAAAAGATCTAATGCATTGTACATAATGATGTTTCTAATTGAAGAAATCCGAAAAAGTGAAATGAGCTTAGTGTCATCTTTGCTTTGTAGGCTACATACATCATGTCGTTTCATGGGAATTTAGTACAAATAGTTCGCAAAGCGATATAGCCGTCAGTGGAATTCCATCTTAGTAACTACCGACGCGTGGCCTATACAAACAGTATTCTGAACGCATACAGCACTATGAAAGATGTTCGTTTCGAAGCAAATCATACAATAAGAATTTCTTATCTAGTTTCTTTGGGTAATCGAATGAATAGAAGATCATGATTGTCGAAGCGACAATAAAAGAAAACTCAATCGTTCAGTTTGGAAGTTGATCCAAGGCGAAAGGAATAACAGTGACAGCATGGCAACGGCTAGCCGTGAGTGGCCGACTGGAGGGAGGTCGACGAACGACTAGGCGTTTAAATGCTAGATTAATCCTGAAGTGTACGCTTAGAATAACGTTGCCAGGCTTCAGATAATTTGGAAAGAAATTTGACGAATGAATATTCCTCAATGAAAATATTCGACAAGGTATCATTTTGTTGACAGGAGAGAAAAGAATCGGTTTATCGCTGGAAAACACAGCCGAATGTTCACACTTTTCAAGTAGTCTACTGTATATCATCCGTCTATGAGTGACTTAGTAAAGCATTAATGAAAATTTCCATGCGCGTGATATGAAAATAGAAAAACAGATGACAAAGGTCAATGGTTGGCCGTGAGTGGCCATCTGACTAGCCGTTGAGCGATGAATTTTTCAGTCAACATCGTGAGTGCTGGAGAATTATCCACTGACAAATGGCTAATCGGTCTGATTCCTAAAAAGACTTTTGCATCCTATTCGTTCTACTGTGTGACATAGTGCCATGGTTAAGTTGAGCACTAGTAGCAATCGTAGTCCGTTTTTTCTCTTTCAAAGTCTCTGAATGTGTTCAGCATTCGTAAAAGTCTTTCAGAAAAGAATCGGCGAATCCAAAGGATGAGCGTTACTTGTTTATTAGATGCAAAGCAATGATTAAATAATAAATGTCAACATATATTTTCAAGTCTGTTTTTTTTATGATAGATTATGTATAAGTCGTCGTATAGTAGTTTGATATCTGGTAACCGATTTCTGAAGTTCTTTTCTATACAATTTCGATGGTAATACAAATACAACAAAAGTAAGCATTGCTTGAATAAGTNTCAGTTTCATCAGTTTCATTTTGTCCATTAATTAATTTTGGTGATAATTCAATAAGTCGATTACAAATTAATTGAAATAAAATACGATGTTTAGTTAGTTGATGATAATCATTCTCATCATTTTTACATAAATAATATATATATTCGCCATCATGTGGAAATAAATCATTTGTACTTGAAAGTCTATTATCATAGGAACAATCGAGTAAAGGATAATGTTGAAATTCTAAAGATTTAATAGTTGAACTTAAACGTAAATTGTAATATTTAAATATATTGTATATTGATTGTATGTATGCAATATCGAATACATGCTTTTGATTAGAAGAAGAAAATGGAATATTTCTACGATAACATTTTGTACCATTAAAGTATTTCATTGAATCATTGATAAAATAGTTATCATAAATTGAATTACTATAACAAATATAAGGATCTTGAAAATTTTTATTATTAAATTCAATTGAATCCGTTTTTTCATAAGCAAAATAAATATTATTAAATAGAATTGGAATAGATGGCATATAAAACATATCTGGACAATAATTTTCAATTAGCTGTAGACATTCATGTATCCCACAGAAACGATTACAAATTGAAGATAGATCATTTGATAATGGAAGGATACATTTGAATGCTAATGAACAATTCAATGATGTAGAATGATCATTAATAGATAATATCGCTTTCAATAATCGTTCTTGTCGTCCTGGAATACAAGATGATGTTAATGGTAAATCTCGACATTTGACATCTTCAACTAAAAGAATTGGTAGATGTTGTATATTTTCATTAATAACATATTTTGTTTCTATTGGTTTATAAATTGGATTGTTTATATCTATTTGTGAACAATGTTCTTCATCAAATGGACCATTGAAACAATCTACTTTTCCATCGCAAATTTCTGACCAATCCAAACAATATTTCGATGAATGACGATCACATTGGATAAACATATAACAAGTTAATGATTCTGAGAAAGGTTTTTCATCTCGATAAAAATCTATCAAATAATCGAACATATTATTATGTAAATAATCATCATCTATTTCATATTGACACATTAACCCAAATCTTCCTTTTGCACAATGGTAAAAAATATCATTGTTTATTTCATTATTTGATATTGATGAGAGTTTATTCAAATATAATTGATAATTTTCGATAGAATCAATTGGTGCAAACCAAGAATATAAATGTTCACTGCTTATATTCCTTTTCATAAGTTCAGTAAAAGTAAAATTTGTAATATAACCATTGGGTTCTACATCAAATTTGAATGATAATTCATTCATACAATAAGAAATTGATTCAAATGTTTTGGTAAGTTCATCTTCAATTATATGNTTTTTTTAACAACGACGAAACCTCATCGAATAATGAATTAATTTTCTCGAAAGAATTATCCTCAGCAATTGAATCGTCGATTCTTTTCAAGAAATCGTTCACTTTTTCAGCTGTCATTTCGTCTGTTGATGAAATAGCGTCACTTTATCTAAACGATCTCGAATCACTGAAGCTTACTTTGTCACGCCGATGTTAAACAGTACACACACGTTGTCTGCAGTGTTTTTATACGTTTGTTTTTGAGTCAGAAACAAGCAAAAAAATATGTTGCCACTATAATAGCATTATCCCTGTAAGATTTTTACAACATACGACGCATTGCATTTTTTCTTCTCTGTGACATGTCCTTATATGAAGATATTTACTCATAAAAATTTTTCGTTCTTTGTTTTTTTAAGGATGGAATTCGTTTTCAGCATTATCGATGTATATATGTTTGCAGTCTTCCTCTGCTCTGTTTCGTTGTTGATTATAATTTCGCAATACATGTCATATGATGCGTTATAGCGTTTTCCGCGAAATTATATTTCAACATCAACCCAAGTTCCGGGAAACTCAATGTATTTCGGATGTCTATTCAATCTACAGAAATTCAAAGAAGTTTTTCACACTACAGAAGTGTAACCTTGCGATCCTATGCGATGAGGATTATATCTGACTGAGGGTGAAGAGTGTCGGTGATGAAGGGTATTGATTAGAATGGATGTATACGGCATAATGGGCATAATCAGTATGATTATGCGTTATATGCCAGATCTCATAAAAGCCCGTAGTATCTTTACCGTGTATTGTCGCCGCGAATTGCAATTTCCTTATTCCATCTTTGTGTCAAAAATGGATTTCCCGGAAAACGCTATAACGCATCAAATCGTTGAAAGGTTTTAAATCCATTGTTTTCCCCTTTTATGAAAGAAAGCTTTCAGCGCAATCCCTAACGGGATTAAAAAATGTGAAATACGATCCACCTGGAGAAACTTTAAGCACATATACTGGTCAATTTATTTCGCAGTCTGCATTCCTATTTATTTAAACTTATGCTGTTGAAAATAACATATGATTGCCAATGGCGATACCCGCTGCTTTTTAAGAACTTTTTGCTTCATCAGTCACAAATATGTGATGCTTCTTACTGCGCTTCCATTAGCCGTTCACGATCTGTGACGCGATTTACGCGCGTCAGTGCAACGAAGTTGAGAACGAACCTGTCTGTGAGACAATGACACACAGTTTATTTGGATTTTCTCCTAACAAACTCTCACTCTTCATCTTTTAGGTGCACGTCTTTACAGAGAACAGTGAATTACGGTCAAGTATAGTAACAACTTCAGGACAGACGGGTTATAGGTTACATGCGTGCCAAAAGACAGGCGGCAACAATAAGTCCCTTTAGATTCCGTAATGATCTACGGGATAAGGATTCGCGGGCAGAAAATCCCTCTGTCTTCCCAAACTCTTTAACATCTTTCTGCGAGTCCTGCCTTACAAAAAGAATGGGACAGTTAGCTTCATAACAAACAAGTCCGCTGCAGATGTTTTTACTGCAAATAGAGTATTAAACCTATGAAGCTTAACTGGTAGTAGTTTGCACTCTATGACCTTTACTTTCTATATAAGGTAGAGTATTACAGCGCACTTGTGTGTAGTGAACCGCTTATGCCTAATGACCTTTGAATCTTTTGGTCGAGGTATGAATTTCTCAATGGTCTGTGATAGGATTTTCGTCCTGTCGGTGGCGGTCTGTGATGGGTTTTGGAAAGTGCACCCGTTGACCTTTGACCCTGTCGGTGACGGTCTGTGGGGGAGGGTGGTCAAAATTTTTACCCTTAAACACTTCAACATTCTCCTTCGGATCGTGTTTCACAAAAGATAAAAGTGCTGAATGCGAGATTTGAACTCGCTGTGTTGCACATGATACACAGTTGCCCAATTCAACCATCTAGTACTTGGGAATAGTAACTGAATTTTGAAGTGAAGAGTGATTTATGTATGGTAGAGAAGAAAAAAGATTTCTCGTGTGTTCTGTTTATATGTTAAAATGAACATATGTGATTGATCCCTTAAGAAACGTTTCGTATTGATCTATTAGGAGACTACTTAACAGACCAATGAAGTTGCAGACCGGTGGGTATATATACTGATGATTTTTACAATTATGGACGGAAGATCGTCCTGGTCTCGGATAAGATAGTAATGTCTAGCCTTCTTGTAAATAGAAGCCGATCTTGTATTATAAAATTTGACAATTTTATATTGATGTACATATGATTGTAATATTTTTGGTTTAGTTGAGATGACTGATGCACAATCGACGAGTAATGTGGGTGTTGGACGGGAAGGAGTGTGTGTGGACTTTCGAGCCCTGGTATCCTTCTCAGGAGGCTACTCACCGGAGCAGGTTCGAGGCGGTTTGTCTGGTCCTCATCTTGGTGGACATCCGTCCATCATATGGCGAAAGACCACGATATACCACTCGAACCAGGATGGGTCCTACTGTCTGTACGCTTGCGAGCGAAGTGGAGCGGCAATGTGGGTGCCTGTTGGCGATTTGTTTGTGGCAAATCGACCACTAGGAAGTCAAGCGAGTGGTAGTCTGATGGACTACATTTTGTCCGATAGAAGAAGGCAGACAGTGGGACCCACTGGGTATGGCTTCCATAGCACTGGTCGTACAACCTCAGGCGAGAATGGAAACATTCGAAGACCATTGGGAACTCATGCCAGTGTTATGAGAAGGGAACCGGCTACCCGACTGCATCGGCACAATCCACTGGTTCGTCCAGAACCAGTCGCGGCTGGAGCCGGTAGCAGGAGGACGGTAGCCCGGAGAGAACGACGGGAGAGATTGAGGGCCCATCATCCTGAGGCACCACCACCACCACCAACAACAACAACAACAACAACAACATCAGCGGTGGTGGAAGCAAATGGTAACGAGCAAGTCCAAGAAGACGACACTGAAAGAGAGGACGATGGACCTCGCAATACACCACAACGTACCATCTTCATATACAACAGCAATATGGGTGCTAACATAGGTGGTCAGGCAACATCACAAATGGCCATCCTCAATCTCTCCGATGAGGAGTCCTAGTTGAGACATGAGGCTCTTCTAGCCATCTGGTGTAACCCAATACCTTTTATTAAAAAAATTTTTGAGCCTCAGTCAGCTTTCTTTACACCCTCTTTTTTGTCTTCTAGATTCTGATGACGTCGAGTAACAACTTGACAGAAAGTAGTCAATAAATCACACCAAAATCAACAATAAATCTTTTTAATAATTTGTTTTTCGATTTTGAATCGGGTATTTTCTTCTATTTGAGAACAGACGAATAGTTAGTTTTTTTCAAAATACTGAACTATCTGCTCTTTCTTTTCTTTTTTATTGTATATTCTTTTCAAAATCAGCAAGTATATCTTTTGAAAGCTGAGAAAGTGGAGTAAATTTGCTAGTTATTGAATAGTTTGTGTAAGGAAAGTAATATTGAATATTTAGTGTCTGCTACCAAAATGCTGAAGATATAAGGATCGGGACGACCTTCCTCGATGCAAAGCAATATGTATTTTGAAATAAAAGCATACTCTTCTCTAGTCACTGTCACTTTTTGCTCTGTTCTCTAACTGGGCCTTCCTCTCATCGTCACGCTCAATCGGATCGCGTTTTATGTATTTTATTCGATGCAAAGCAATGATTAAATAATAAATGTCAACATATATTTTCACGTCTGTTTATTTTATGATAGGTTATGTATAAGTCGTCGTATAGTAATTTGATATCTGATAATCGATTTCTGAAGTTCTTTTCTATACAATTTTGATGGTAATACAAATACAACAAAAGTAAGCATTGCTGGAATAATTGAAACAAAATATCCCGAAAGAAATAACCATGAATCATTGATTGATTCCATACATTTTGATACATATGAAATAATCAGACGTGGCAATGCCAGAATAACTAATAAAACAGGTGCAAGAAATAAATGTTTATGTTGTCGATAATTTTCATGTAAAATTTCTTTAAAATTTCGTTTTTTTTGAATACTTGATTGTTGTTGAGATCTTTTTGTTATCAGAGTAAGAGCTGAAATGAAATTAATAATAAACGGTGCAAAAAAATGAAATGTATGTATAAAAGAATTGTATGTTTGCAAACTAGATGATGCATAAGTAATAGTACACCAAATTCGTTTTCCATTATCATCTTCATCAATTTCATCAAATAAATGTCGATGAATCGGTTCATGAATAAATGTAAGAATATTAAAAATTAAAAGTAAAAATATGATTATTTTGGCTATTTGTTTACTTTTTTTCTTAACAAAACGAGTACCTTTTATAATTGTTAATGCTCGTTCACAAGCAACACATGCATTTAACCATTGATCCATATGAAGAAATATTCGAAGAAGATAATCTAATAAAATACATTGAATTTGTAAAAATAATCGATTTGTCATCGAAAATATTTGTGTTAAAATAAGAATCCAGAATTTCAATCCAAATAAAATTGTTATTATCAATGTTGTTATTGATGAACCTATGATAAATAATAGATATACTTTAAAATGAAGTAGAGAAATATTACAAATGCGATCAGATCGGACAATAGAAAGTTGAATCCTTATGAATTTTCAAAATTTCTTTTCTGTATGTCGTGCTGAAAGTCTTTTTATTGACTAAGCAGTAGAGATATCAAGGTGTAACTAAGTAGAAGTGAATTATATCGAGCATCTGATATTTTTGGAAAAACCTTTTAGGACGGCGCCAGCCACTCACGACTACAACGATGTTCATCGCATCGAATTCTGTTTTAAGATATTTTACTATACCTAATAAATACAAAGCACAACCATTTACATGTAAATTTTTATTTTTAAATGTGATCATTGTAAGTATTCCATTAATTAAACCTATTACGAGAAAGATAAGATTTAAAACAATACTTATTTTAATAATATTTGATTGATTTAATAAATAAATTGATGGTTGAATATGATAAGCTAGAATTGTATCAAGTGATAAACTAAATCTACTTGTACTAAATTGACATCGTCTTCCATAAAAACATGAATGACAAAGACAAGTGACTTTCTTATAACATCCTGATCCAATTTGAAAACATTGACCATCATTTGCACATTCATTTTCTCCTAAACAATCGCCTTTCATCGTATGATTAAATTGAAAACAATTACTTAAACGGTGTCCCCTAAGATAATAACATGTACATAAATGAATATCATCATAGAAACATGAAATATTCAATTGACATAGTAAATGATAATATTTCATACGTCGAAGAAAATGATATTGAACAATTGTTTTATTAAATAATTCATTTATATATGGACAACGATCTGTTAATCGAATTTGTTTGTTTAATTTAACGTGATCAAAAGTAGTCTTCTGAGTAGCAAGTAAATAATAATTCTTTTTTAAATCTTCGATAAAAATCACATTAAACCGATCAGTCCAAGAAATATTCGTTGAATATTTCATCGACGAAACTGTTTTAAAAATAGTTAATCGATTTCTTGGAAGATTATTTTCTATATAAAGAAAATGAATGAATATTGTTCGTAATAAATGAAACTTATTTTCAAATGTTAAAGATATTTCATTATCTTCATATTCGCAATGAATGCCATCATAACCTTTTGAACAAATACATGTATACAATTGTGATGTTTGTCTGTTTAAATCCGACGGAATACATTGACCATGATTATTACATGTTGTATTATCATGTAATTCACATGTTTTGTCTTTGAGAAAACACCGAGGACCAAATTTATACATAGGACAAAGACATATTGATCGATTATAAGCATCAATACCAAGACATTTGGAATCCGATGAACATGCACAATTGATTGTTGATGGAATTGAACAATATCGTCCCGACCATCCAGAATAACATTGACAGAAAGTTTTCTCTTGTTGAACATTGAAATATTTCAAACATTTTCCATGAACACATCGAGATTTTGAACAAATTTCAACATGAAAATCAGCTGCTGGAATATTGATTATTAAATCTAAACGATGAACAGGTAAAAATGTATTTCGTATTGGAAACCATAAACTTCCATGATAATTCAATGTATTTTTATTATAAATATCAATATGAATTGAATAATTTTTTTCTTGATCTTTTATTCGTGTCGAATAAACTAAATAATAATATGATATCAATTGACAATCTCTTACAAATAAATATGTTAATTTAACATATGAATGAATAATTCTTTCATTACTATTATCAATCAATTGAATTAGAATTTCAAATGGTGTTTGTCGTGAATCAGAAAATGCTTGAAATTTAATCGATAAACTCACTCGCTGATTTTGATATTCACATTGTGAACCATAATAATTTAATGGACAAATACATGTCAATCTTGATTCTGTATTATTCAACCAAATATGTAAAGAAAGTCCACGATGACATGAAATTTTATTTCGTTCTGATATCTTTCTATTATAGGTATTTCTTTTCTCAATTTTATTATGACAATCAAATTCATCTTCACCATTTAAACAATTCCAAAATCCATTACACTTTGTATATAAATTACTACATGGCCAATAATTACAATCAGTTTCATCAGTTTCATTTTGTCCATTAATTAAATTTGGTGATAATTCAATAAGTCGATTACAAATTAATTGAAATAAAATACGATGTTTAGTTAATTGATGATAATTATTCTCATCATTTCTACATAAATAATATATATATTCACCATCATGTGGAAATAAATCATTTGTACTTGAAAGTTTATTATCATCAGAACAATCGAGTAAAGGATAATGTTGAAATTCTAAAGATTTAATAGTTGAACTTAAAGGTAAATTATAATATTTAAATATATTGTATATTGATTGTATATATGCAAAATCGAATACATGCTTTTGATTAGAAGAAGAAAATGGAATATTTCTACGATAACATTTTCTACCATTAAAGTATTTCATTGAATCATTGATAAAATAGTTATCATAAATTGAATCATTATAACAAATATAAGGATCTTGAAAATTTTCATTTTTAAATTCAATTGAATCAGTTTTTTCATAAGCAAAATAAATATTATTAAATAGAATTGGAATAGATGGTATATAAAACATATTTGGACAATAATTTTCAATTAACTTTAGACATTCATCTATCCAACAGAAATTATTACAAATTGAAGATAGATCATCTGATAATGGAAGGATACATTTGAATGCTAATGAACAACTCAATGATATAGAATGATCATTAATAGATAATATCGCTTCCAATAATCGTTCTTGTCGTCCGGGAATACAAGATGATGTTAATGGTAAATCTCGACATTTGATATCTTCAACTAAAAGACTTGGTAGATTGAGTATATTTTCATTAATAACATATTTTGTTTCTATTGGTTTATAAATTGGATTGTTTATATCTACTTGTGAACAATGTTCTTCATCAAATGGACCATTGAAACAATCTACTTTTCCATCACAAATTTCTGACCAATCCAAACAGTATTTCGATGAATGACGATCACATTGTATAAACATATAACAAGTTAATGATTCTGAAAAAGGTTTTTCATCTCGATAAAAATCTATCAAATAATCGAACATATTATTATGTAAATAAACATCATCTATTTCATATTGACACATGAACCCAAATCTTCCTCTTGTACAATTGTAAAAAATATCATTGTTTATTTCATTATTTGATATTGATGAGAGTTTATTTAAATATGATTGATAATCTTCGATAAGATCAATTGGTGCAAACCAAGAATATAATTGTTCACTGCTTATATTTCTTTTCATAAGTTCAGTAAAAGTAAAATTTGTAATATAACCATTGGGTTCTACATCAAATTTGAATGATAATTCATTCATACAATAAGAAATTGATTCAAATGTTTTGGTAAGTTCATCTTCAATTATATGAACATGAAAACAATCATAATATAAGGCATTTTGACTACTGTTCATTTTTACATCTGTAGAATATAGATACAGATTAGGTAGAGCAATAATTGGATGTAATAAAATAAAGTAGATTGAATATAACGAAGAAATCATGATTTCAATAAGAAATGAATGAGAAAAAAACTACATTCTTGTCTTTTCTCTTCTCTATGTGAAAAAATATGAGCATATTTAGATATCAACAATCTTTTTGTCAATTGACTTAGTGTTTTATCATTTTTTTAGATAAAAAAATATGGCATCCGTGATAAATTAATTCATTTCCTGAATTTTAGTGTACAAAAAGGTAGATAAAAAATATGAAGCAACTTGATGTTATTATTATTTACTAATATCATACTGTTATCGGATACATGAGTTAATCTATTGTTGTTCTCTTTCTAATACAAAGGTCAGTCCAAAGTAATTTGCTCTTTTCAGCGGTCAGTTGCGCCTATCAAACTTTATTTACTGCTTATTTTATTAGAAGAATTTTGATGAATAAACAAAAGAGATGTTCTTCAAATAAATATTTTCAAATATGTATCACAAAAGTAATCATCCAGTGCATTAAATATGGAACTAAGATCTTTGTTGAGTATGACACCACGAATATACTTTGTAAGTTCCATACATATGATGTAATTGTGTATGATTCTGAAATATATGAAGAATAGACATAGAAGGTATACAACTGGCTTGCTACTCGACAATAGATCGTAGACTATCACAATATGATATGATACTTACCACATGATCTTTTCGAATACATAAACTTTTGAATTCGACGATTATCCGAATCAACAACATAAATATTTCCATAACTATCAAATGCCATATGTCGTGGCCCCAATAATTGATAAGGTTCTTTACCTCTAGCAACACATCCAAGTATACAATGAAAACCAGTTGCACTATCACCACGAACAATACGATGATTATTTTGATCAACGATATATAGATAACCATTACCATCAAGAGTTATTCCAGTCGGATGGTTGAGACTAATTGTTTTAGTTTTAGATGTTAATCCTACCACAGTAATTCCATTTGGTTGTTCTACTTGAAATAATTGAACTCGATGATTGAGAGAATCAGCAACATAAAGATTCAAATGAAGATCAACAACGATTCCAGTAGGAGCATTCAGCATATATGAAGTCGAACCAGAAGTTCCAGTGCCAGCTGCGAGAATTGGTGTTGTATCATCATCATCATCACCTAACCATGTTTTCAGAACTCTATGATGACTACTTAATGAACAATATAGATTGTTATTAATATCAATAAAAAGCGCATAGCATGATGAATAAATACTCATAATAGGAATGTTCTTATTTGTATCTAACATCAATTTTTCCACTACATAATTGTTATCACCTTTCTCAATATAAAGTTCATTATCATTTTCGACAAAAAATGATCTTGGTAATCCTGAGTTGCGGGATAGTGATATTGTTGTATTCGCAGTTTCATTTAAGAATACATAAATTCGAGCATTCCAATAGTCAAATACATAAATGGAATTACTCATCGTGACAAATATAGAATGTGGAACTTCACCAATTCTATTCTCTGCGAGAAAAGTAGTTGCATACGAGTCCCACGTTGGTGACAGGCAAAATTTTGGTTGATTGAGTGGCAAGTCTAAATGACAACATTCAGAGTATTCTCATAGCCATACTATTTCTCTAGCCTTTGACGTTTTTTTACATACTTCCCGATGACGTTATTGAAGATGCATTTGCACTAACTCGGTCTGAAATGTAAAACATCATTCAAACATGACAGACATGACCTCATACTTACCACAGGACCTTTTCGAATACATAAACTTTTGAATTCGACGATTATTTGTATCAACAACATAGATATTTCCATAACTATCAAATGCCATATGTCGTGGTCCTAATAATTTATAAGGTTCTTTACCATTACCGTCACATCCTAATATACATCGAAAACCAGTTACATCACCACGAACAATACGATGATTATTTTGATCAACAATATATAGATAACCATTACCATCAAGAGTTATTCCAGTCGGATGGTTGAGACTGATTGTAAGGTTAACTGATGTTCTCCCTGCAACAGTAGTTGCATTCGATTGACCTGCTTCGAATAACTGAATTCGATGATTGAGAGAATCAGCAACATAAAGATTCAAATAGACATCAACAACAATTCCAGTCGGAGCAGCCAACATATTAGAAGCCAGACCAGGATTTCCAGTCCCAGCTACGATAACTGATGTTGCATTATTATTCCCTAACCATTTTTTTAGAATTCTGTGTTGAAGATCTAATGAACAATATAAATTGTTATTGATATCAATGAAAATAGCATAGCATGGTACGGGAATATCCATAACAGGAGTGTGAGTATTTGTATTCAATATCCATCTAGATATTACCGATTTGTGTGTAAATGTGTCAAAATAAATTTCGTTATCGTTCTTAATAAAAACTGATCTTGGTAGCCCTGTATTACGGGATAGTGATATTGTTGAATTGACAGTTGCATTGAACCATATATAAATTCGAGCATTCGTATAGTCAAAAATGTAAATGTAGTTTTTCGTTGTAATAAAAACAAAATATGGAATTCCATGAAATCTATTGTCTGCGGGGAAAGTGGTTCCAATAGGGTTCCAAACTACCGCGGCACAAAATCTCGGTTGATTAATTGTATAATCTAAATATCGACATATGATCGCATGAGAAAAAGGGAACATAAAAACATAGGATTTTAGTTTCAGCCTTCACTCACATCTGTTGAAAAACATAAGCCAACTGTTGATTATCTTTCTTTCTATCAAATCCTGACAATCGAGTCCTATGATTAATTCTTTACTTTATTCAAAGAAACAGCAGTAATGATTATACCTAAACACTGTTTTTGAATTTTTACGTGCTCAGTTTAAGCAGAAAACTACTCCTTGTGAATCAGACATGTGTTCGTTTCCTATTTTCATTTACACAAGTGACTTCTTGAAGACCAAAAAAAAAATTTACATACTTTCTGATGACGTTATTGAAGATGCATTTGCACTAACTGGATCTGAAATACAAAATATCATTCAAACATATGGAAATAACTTCATACTTACCACACGATTTTTCCAAATACATAAACTTTTGAATTCGACGATTATTCGTATCAACAACATAGATATTTCCATAACTATCAAATGCCATATGTCGTGGTCCTAATAATTTATGAGATTCTTTACCATTACCGTCACATCCTAATATACATCGAAAACCAGTTACATCACCACGAACAATACGATGATTATTTTGATCAACAATATATAGATAACCATTACCATCAAGAGTTATTCCNCACATGATCTTTTCGAATACATAAACTTTTGAATTCGACGATTATCCGAATCAACAACATAAATATTTCCATAAATATCAAATGCCATATGTTGTGGTCCCAATAATTGATAAGATTCTTTACCGCTAGCAACACATCCGAGTATACAGCGAAAACCTGTTACACTATTGCCACGGACAATACGATGATTATTTCGATCAACAATATATAGATAACCGTCGCCATCAAGAGTTATTCCAGTTGGATGATTGAGATTAATTGTTCTAGTTTTAGATGTCAATCCTACCACAGTAATTCCATTTGGCTGTTCTGCTTGAAATAATTGAACTCGATGATTGAGAGAATCAGCAACATATAGGTTCAAATGACGATCAACAACGATTCCAGTAGGAGCATTCAGCATATATGAAGTCGAACCAGGAGTTCCAGTACCAGCTGCGAGAATTGGTGTTGTATCATCATCACCTACCCATGTTTTCAGAACTCTATGATGACGAATTAATGAACAATATAGATTGTTATTAATATCAATAAAAAGCGCATAGCATGATGAATAAATACTCATAACAGGAATGTTCTTATTTGTATCTAATATCAATTTTTCCACTACATGGTTGTTATCACCTTTCTCAATATAAAGTTCATTATTATTTTCGACAAAAATCGATTTTGGGAATCCTGAGTTGCGGGATAGTGATATTGTTGAATTCGCAGTTTCATTTAAGAATACATAAATTCGAGCATTCCAATAGTCAAATACATGAATGGAGTTATTCGCTGTGATAAATATAGAATGTGGAACTCCACCAATTGTATTCTCTGCGACAAAAGTAGCTGCATACGAGTCCCACGTTGGTGACAAGCAAAACTTCGGTTGATTAAACGGCAAGTCTAAGTGAAAACATTCAAAGTATTCTCATAGCCCTGGTACTTCTTTAGTCTTTGACATTTTTTTACATACTTTCCGATGACGTTATTGAAGATGCATTCGTAGTAGCTCGGTCTGAAATGTAAAACATCATTTGAACATGACAGACATGGCCTCATACTTACCACAGGATCTTTTCGAATACATAAACTTTTGAATTCGACGATTAATCGTATCAACAACATAGATATTCCCATAAATATCAAATGCCATATGGCGTGGTCCCCATAATTTATAGGGTTCTTTACCATAACCTTCGCATCCTAATATACATCGAAAACCTGTTACACTATCACCACGAACAATACGATGATTATTTCGATCAACAATATATAGATAACCATCGCCATCAAGAGTTATTCCAGTTGGTTGATTGAGACTAATTGTAAGGTTGACTGAAGTCCTTCCTGCAACAGTAGTTGCATCTGATTGACCTGCTTCAAATAACTGAATCCGATTATTGAAAAAATCAGCAACATAAAGATTCAAATAGATATCAACAACAATTCCAGTCGGAGTATTCAGCATATTAGAAGCTGGACCAGGAGTTCCAGTACCAGCTACGGTAACTGGTGTTGCATTATTATTCCCTAACCATTTTTTTAGAACTCTGTGTCGAAGGTCTAATGAACAATATAAATTGTTATTGATGTCAATAAAAATGGCATAGCACGGTGCGGGAATATCCATAACCGGAGTGTGAGTATTTGTATTCAATATCCATCTAGATATTGCCGGTTTGTGTGTAGATGTGTCAACATAAATTTCGTTATCATTCTTAACAAAAACTGATCTTGGTGATCCTGTATTACGGGATAGTGATATTGTTGAATTAACAGTTGCATTGAACCATATATAGATTCGAGCACTCGTATGGTCAAAAATGTAAATGTAGTTTTTCGTTGTAATAAAAACAAAATGTGGAATTCCATGAAATCTATTCTCTGCGAGGAAAGTGGTTCCAAAAGGGTTCCAAACTGCTGCGGGACAAAATCTTGGTCGATGAATTGTATAGTCTAAATACCGACATATGACAGCATGAAAAAAAGAGAACATAAAAACATAGGATTTTAGTTTCAGCCTTCACTCACATCTGTTGGAAAACATAAGCCAACTGTTGATTAACTTTCTTTCTATCAAATCCTGACAATCGAATCCTATGACTAATTCCTTAGTTTTTTCAAAGAAACAGTAATAGTGATTAGACTTAAACACTGATTTTGAGTTTTTACGTACTCAGTTTAAGCACAGAAAACTCCTTTTTGTGAAACAGACATGTTCCCTTTTCCTATTTTCATTTACACAAGTGACATCTTGAAGACCGAAAAAAAAATTTACATACTTTCTGAGGACGTTATTGAAGATGCATTCGTATTAATTGGATCTGAGATACAAAATATCATTCGAACATATAGAAATAACTTCATACTTACCACACGATTTTTCCGAATATATAAACTTTTGAATTCGACGATTATACGTATCAACAACATAGATATTCCCATAACTATCAAATGCCATATGGCGTGGTCCGGATAATTGATGAGATTCTTTACCAAAACCGTCACATCCTAATATACATCGAAAACCAGTTACACTATCACCACGAACAATACGATGATTATTTCGATCAACAATATATAGGCAGCCATCGCCATCAAGAGTTATTCCAGTTGGTTGATTGAGACTAATTGTAAGGTTGACTGATGTCCTTCCTGCAACAGTAGTTGCATCTGATTGACCTGCTTCAAATAACTGAATCCGATTATTGAAAAAATCAGCAACATAAAGATTCAAATAGACATCAACAACAATTCCAGTCGGTGCATTCAGCATATTAGAAGCTGGACCAGGAATTCCAGTGCCAGCTACGGTAACTGGTGTTGCATTATTATTCCCTAACCATTTTTTTAGAACTCTGTGTAGAAGGTCTAATGAACAATATAAATTTTTATTGATATCAATAAAAATGGCATAGCACGGTGCGGGAATATCCATAACAGGAGTCTGAGTATTTGTATTCAATATCCATCTAGAAACTGCTGATCTCAATGTTGATGTTGTAATATAGATTTCATTATTATTTTCAACAAAAACTGATTTCGGGTACCATAGTGTGTTTGACGCTATTTTCGTGGGCTTAATAGAGTCATTCAACGAAATATAGATGCCAGAAGATCCGAGACCAATGATATAAATAGAATTATTAGTTGTAAGAAATATAGAATGCATATCAATGTCATCGAGTTCTGCAAAGGTACTTCCAAATGGATACCATGTTACTGATGAACAAAATTTTGGTTGATTAAATGACAAAGCTAGAAGGCATTTTCAAACTTCTTAATCTCATTATATACAATAAGCAGAATATACAATTAGAAATCGACGTTTTTTACCTGAGAACGATCGAATCATGAAAAAAATCAAATGCAATCTGCGTTTGTCAATTGAAATCATTGTATTTCACAAAAAAATGATGATCTAAAGTTGATTTTATCATGAATAGTAAATAGAAAATAAAGCTAAATGAAATTAGTCTTTTTACTTTCTTCTTTTTGAACAAAACAAAAATTATAATGAAAACTAATCTAATATTCTTTTGCATATGTCGCATAAATAAAAAATATATATTTACTGTGTATTTAACATTTAAATCTGGAAGAAAAAAGTGTTTGTTTCATAGATAAAAATAATATGCTCACATTTTATATTCATATCACCCTTGATTATGAAAAAAAACTAATAGAAAGAAAATTATGCTCAGTCACTTTTCTGTGAGAAAGAATTTCTGATAATAACAAAATATAATGATGCACTAAACTAATATAGAGAAAATGCTGATCCAAAGTGGTGTTTTTGTCTAATCGACTAAAATTACCAGTTAAATATTCTAAAAGCATTTCGGATACCGCTGTTATCCTCTTGTTAAAAGATAAGTATACTAAGACAGTAAAAATGTCATATCGAACTCATGAATCTCTTTTCATGGTTAATGGCTTCTTTCTTTTTCTTACAATTCATTTTGAAATATTCGGATATGATTTTCCATTTCTTGTCAGAAACCAACTTCGATCGAAGTCGTGTGGGTGCGTGTGTTATATTTGTTTCTAAGAACTTGCTTCCACCAATTTAATGAGCTCATTTTTGGAACGCGTCTTCGTCCGAATGGAGTTAAGATATAGTAAAATGAGTACGCATGGGAACGGCTAGCCGACCGACTAGATGTTTCTTTTGGAAATTCGTTGAGAGGTGAGATTTATAAGACTGTCGCATAGTGTCCATAATTTTTCTAAGGTATATGAAAACACTTATTAGGTACCGACGGCTAGCTGTGCGTGGTCGAACGGAGAGAGGTCGACAAACGACTAGGTGTTATAATTTCAGAAGATTTCAGGAAGCGAAATTGGTCTACGTAAAACATTCTGACAAATTATCAAATGATCAGATCGTTCCACTGAAATAGCTTTTTTCTCTCTTTGGACGAATATTAGCGCTCTAATACTATCCTTTCAGTAGAGGGTTTAGCGGCTACTTGGAATGTGGAGAGTATTAGGGATATGGAACACCAAAATTTGTTATCAGTGGTGTGGGTGAGGGTGTGAGTTTGAAAGTAAATTTACTCAGTATACTTTTTATTCTCATCTGCAGTCTCATTCTCAAAATACAAGCATGTGAGTTCCATATTCTAGTCCCAGATAGGCTGCACTGGCAAGCTGTTGTTCTAGGATCGAATGAACATTTAAACAATGAATAGTTAAGGATTAATACTATTCTCCTCTAATGAATTGTAACTTACTACACAATTTCTACATGAATTACAACTAGCTAACTCTATACCATTCTGACCTAACATCCATCTGACAAATCTATTCTGATTTTCTCAATGTACAAACAATTTCATATATTACAAATTGAACTTAAATAAATGGGGAAAAAGGTAAGAAAAAATGTGGAAAAGATGAATAGAGAAACTAAATGGTATGAGAGTAAGACTAACTAAAAGTAAATCATAGTTTAACAATGTCTTTGTATGCCATTTGCGGCCTTCTCATGGTCAACCTCTAAAAACAAAACGAAATATCATCAACTATTTTCAAAAGCAAAGTCAGGCTTTCATCGAACTTTTGAAAAGTAATAGAAAAAATACACACTTGCTTTCCTTATTACTGTCTGCATATATAAACAGGATGATAAGTATCTAAACCAACACTGACACCAAATTTACCGGTGTAACAAGTTATATCACAGCTTTTACAGTTTCTACCGCTGATACTTCCACAAAATCCACAACGATTACCAAGACAATACTTACTACAACAGTCATTGTTCTTAGTACTCTTTGGCCCTTGACCAGAAACAGTACAGTCACGTTTCTGTAAACCTTCTCGAAACAGTGATCTCAGAAAATTACTACGACGCTCATAACTATTAACTTAATCAGAATCATTATAATCTAGGTAAACGGCCATTGCAAGTCTTTGCCAAGACCACCGTGCAAAAAATCAAACCCATAACGACGATTTCATTGACCATTTTGTTCTCGGGATAAATATTTCCATTGATGAACAGCAGATTTGGGCAAATAAAAAGTATGTGTTGAGTTTCGTACGCAAACAACTACTTAAATAGATGAATTAAGCCGTGAGAGCGGACAGGCAAATTTAAGATACGGTTGAATTAATAGACTAATGAAAGAATTACGTATCAGTCTTTGTCTGTATAACAAATCATAGCGGACTCATACATGAACTTGTAAACTATGCTTATATTTCTATCAATAGTGCCCACTCAAGCGCATTTGTTTATCTTATGATTACTAGTTCGGATATTATTAGTTACTGATAATTATTCGTTAGATTATACTAGTCGACGTTTCTGCTCGAGAAAGAACATTGAGTGATAATGTGATGTTTATTTACCTGTGCTTATGCCGAAGAAGAACAGAAAAAAAGGAAATATTCCGTCCATATCAATCTAATCATCGTACAATGAAAATGAATTATGATAATTGATTATCTTGTTTGTCGTAGTTTGCACACAAGATTCTTTCGACAGAAAGATGCCCTAGGGTATCANACACTGCCGCACGATGGTGCTATTGAAAGTGAAATGATATTCGATACAAAAGACTAACCGTACAATCTGAAACTCACTTGTTGTCGTTGATGTAGAAGCTGAAAGAAAACAGAATGATGGATTAGTAGTAGATGTTCTCAGCAAAAAAAAATGTCGCCTGAAGTTCATGGCAGAGAAACTGAACGTCATGAGCTCTGACTGTCAGTGAAAATTTTCGCTACCTCCTTATCAATTAGTTGATTATGTTGAGGATAATGGCAAAAAATCCTTCGTCTCAATCATAGAATTCAATTAATGAATGCTAGTAAATTTAATATCCGATACAAAATATAAAGTTCCGTACAACTAACTGTGCCAACAGACACGTCTATCTCGATATTATATCTTATGCGCTATTATTTGCAAATGTCAATTATGGCATAGGATCCTTGCGTAACGTTCTTTCTCACTAATATTCGCATTATGAATATTACCTTCTACTGTCATTGTTTGTTCTCTTCTCTTTCTGTTCTGTATAAAAGACGGTGTTCTGTACTGTACTAGACACAACTGGAGTATCAACAATGTAGGGAACATCATCTACATACGAGAGAATAGTGATAGTGCTATTCCTTCAGCCCATCATTGTGATCACAAATGAAATAACATTCATTTCCATTTATATATTCCGTTACACTAACTATAAGCTCAAAATTGGTTCCCACAACTTCTCATGCACAAGTCTCTTTGTCAACCAAGTTACGTTCTATGAAGTCTTAAAGTTCAAAGTTTCCTCTTCAGCTTTATCGAAATGAGTTTCATTTCTATTAAATTCTTCTCAAACTCTTATTGTAATTATTCTTATTTATCAGAAGTTCTTACTTGAAGTACTTGATGTCGACGTTGTCTTTGATGTTGTACTCGTGGTTGATGTACTACCTATTAAGAAATGTGTAGAATTATTGTAGTGAATATAGACTGACAATCCACTCTTTCATCGAAATACTTTCTACAGACATAATTGCTCTCTGCAGTGGAAAAAAGATTCAAAAGCATATCTTCTATTTTCGCTAGAATAACTAACGAGAGGATGAGAATGATCTTTAAATGTAGTCCTCAGCCTCATTTACATTTTATCTATGCACAAATTGAAAAAGTCAAAAAAAAACATCTGCTTTTTAGAAAAAGTTGTACAATTCTTGATTACATTTTTAAATCTCACCAAGTCCGTTCTCAATCTGCATCAGATTCTCAATCATATTTGCAGAATATGTAGGCATACATACTTGTTGTTGAGGTTGTCGAGCTTGTAGTACTTGTTGTCGAAGTCGTACTGGTTGTGGCACTTGTCGACGGGGTCGAACTGGTACTTGAGGTACTTGTTGACGTACTCGTACTGGTGGTTGAAGTGCTTGTTGATGACGTCGAACTAGTGGATGAAGTACTTGATGACGAGCTCGTACTAGTTGTGGCACTTGTTGATGAGGTCGAACTAGTACTTGAGGTACTTGATGATGAACTCGTACTGGTTGTAGTACTTGTTGATGACGTCGAACTAGTGGATGAAGTACTTGATGACGAGCTCGTACTAGTTGTAGTACTTGTTGATGACGTCGAACTAGTGGATGAAGTACTTGATGATGAGCTCGTACTAGTTGTAGCACTTGTTGACGAGGTCGAAGCTAGATTTGCATGGATTGCAGCTATGAATTTATACTTTCAGAGTTTGTTTCTTACTCGTCGATGTTGATGCTATTATTAAAAAAATGATCATATATTAAATAACATCAAAAGAAAAAGTTTAACAAATGGCATGATTCTTGCTCTTTCATCAATAATTATACGATTAATATAACGGAAGACTAAACGGATCAAGGGGAAAAGTGCTACTCCAGCAAATGAAGTACTTCACTCGTACTTCAAATACTATCTGAAGTACATGAACTCTCACTTTCCCCTCTTTGAAACAGATTCTTTTTTTTGTAAGTCTGCCCAATTTAGAGTTTAGATTGTTACTCTACTCTTGAAATTACAGCGACAAGGGTTAATCATAATGGATTTCATTAAATTTCTAATGTATTTTGGTACAATCGAATGAATTTATCTCAAGATCCATTTGCATGAAACAATTCAGAGACTGCTTTTTCTTCTCCTCGTGTCTGATTTCATGGTTGATTCATGTGAGACCTTAATTTATGTTGACAGATCTATAGTAAACTTCAAAGTCAGAGTCTGCATCTATTCTAGTCAGGTATAACATCAAATTTCATCACTCGGTACATTTTTTATTTATTATATGTAAATAGTTAAAAATCGAGCAAACGAAACCACCAAAATTTCTATTAAAGGAACAATGTACAATATCTATGCTATCCTATTGTTTAATTCAAAACTAGTGATCCCGTAGAATTATTTTTATGATTATTATAATTAGACTCACTTGTTGACGTTGCTGTAGTAGCAGTCGTTGTTGATGTTGATAGAGTAGTTTTATGTGCTAATGAAGATAAACTAATATGATAGATAAAAGACAGAATACTTACGTAAAACTACGGGAAGTAGAGAACCAAGAGCTATAA